AGCTAAATTTTTACATTTCTCAAGAAACATTGAGAAAAAGTATTCCATCAGCTTCTATAAAGAAAGAAATAATCCGAGCGGCCGATTTTATAGAGAGATGTACATAATTTTTATTTTTTTACTTTAAGGATTTATTTACATTTTATTTTTCACGCAGTATAAATTCCATGCAGATAACACGCATAAGTGTCTAAAATGTATTTACTTCAAAATGCTATTTTCATCTCACCGCAATGATTATCATTTGTGATATATCTTTTAATAACCGAAGTACTTCGGTTATTTATAGATACAATTGTCTAACATTTTTAACTGTCGATATCCATCTCGTTATCTGTGTTACTTTTATCTTGATAACAAGAGCCCTGCCGTGAAGAATAAAACATTTAATTTAACGGTTGCTAATATGCAACGCTGGCACTTCTTTCTATAGAAAACTGTTTGGCGAGCCTTATGGAAAATATACCATACTTTTAACATGAGTTATGGTTTCCTTATATAAAATCTTCAGTAATTAACTGTCACGGTTAATGACTGCTGCAGCAAACTATATGCAGTTGCACTACCGTCCATTCTCAGTTCGTGGAAAGTTTTTTTTTTTTTTATGGCGAAATAAAAGCTTTAGTTCAAATTAAAGGAAGATAAGAAGTATTTCTAATGTTGACTGTGTGGTGTTCTCTAAACAAGTTCAGTCTGTGCAGTTCATTACAACAAGCATAAATTAAATTTCATTACGTTAATTCTAACAATAAATTTTAATGATAGAAAACGGCATGCACGGTACTATAAAACCTAGACATTTTTGAAAATAAATTTTTGTTACTAACTCATCTGAGGTATTTGAAAGTAATGTAATCTATGAGCTTAAAAACATTAATCAGGGAAACCTAATTGCGGTAGGGCAATAACATAAATTTACTCCGTATTATATCGGCACTACGCTGTGTCAAGTATAAATTGTGATACGCCATCCTTACTGAAAAGACAAAGTAAGGTTAATTGAAACGGAAAAAAAAAAAAAAAAAAAAAAAAAAAACTTGCTAGATAGCACAGAAAATAAAAGCAGCGCCATAAATGTAATGCTTTTAAACAGTTATAAAGAGTGAATGAAACAGTCTTATTGTATATTTTTAATAAATCCCGATGCGTATCAAAATTGAAGGATACCAAACCTAATTTTTTAAGAGAAATTTCTAACTTTTCATAGCTAATTTGGCACCCCTTCTAAGTATTCACCTGAGGCAAATGACCCCTGATTCCGGCTCTAGACAATACCGAAATTTTTATTTTTAAGCAAATTGAACTTTACTGTGTGATTACAATATAAGGAAAAAATGAGTTAAAATACAGATAATAAATTAGCTACATAAAACTAACATCCAAGCAAAGATATTAGTCAATAATTGATAATATTTTATTTTCGCCCTTTCCTTTTCAGAAATTTCATAAATCGAAAGAGGGAAAAAGCAATTACGGTTTCCTTAGTTCTTTGTTCATGTAAAAAATGTAACTTTCGTTCACATGAATCAAACACGTAAAGAGCTTAAGCAGGTTTCTTTTCGTAATAAAAATACGTTAAACTTGCATAGGGAAAGAACTACTAAAGAAGAACTGTTATTTTTATTTCAATGAAAGAATGGTGGAGCTTGATAAAAGTCGGCATAGGTGGGTACAGAATTTTTGCAAGCAACCACTAAAACAAGGATTGAATAAGGGAATAACAACCAAAACTTGTTTACTGGAAATTCGAAAAGATGAAACTTGTTTTTGACTGTGTGCAGGGTCTCAGAAGCCTAAATCCTAGTGATAATTTAAAATAGCTTTGCCATTGGAAAAATTTTATTTATAATATGGTATTCTATCTTAAGATTTCATAATAAAGAAATAATTTTCTTCAAAAATATAAAACTTTTTGCGTACTCTACATGTTTATTTCAATGCGGTGTTTTCCTGGAATAGCACAGGAAGTAAATAATGATCTATACCGGTTCAAGAATTCTTATCCTTTTTCTCAGAGCAAAATCAAAGCAAGAATTTTCCAGACTATTTTATTCAAGAGTCTAAAACTTAATAATACTTTCATGAAATGGAATATGAAGTAAATAATAGCCTGTTCTAGTTAAACTATTTGTTTGTTTAAAACTTTTGTTTTTTTCCCGAAGAAAATTCAAATTAACATTTATTTAAGTAATGGACAATATACGGTAAAAAACATGTATCAAAGAAACGTGCTTGCGGTAAGGCAATAAAATAAATCAGTTAAGTAATTTATTGTTTATTATATGGACACTATTCAGCGCAGCATCAAACATAAACTGAAAGACGCCATATTGTCGGAGAAGAGAGAAATACGCAAGAAGATTAACGGAAATCAAACATACGAGCATATAAAACGCGGAAAATAAAAGCATTACTAAGAGTGTGATTGTTTTAAATTTTTATAAAAACGGAATCAATGAAATTATATTATTTAAAATAAACTTTTACTATAACTTAATACGTTTCAAAGTTGAAAGTTAGCGATCATAGTTTTTAATAGAAATTTCTTATTTTTCACCGCTAATTTGGTGCCCCTTCTTGTAATTCACCCAAGGCAAGTGCCTCATTTGCCTCACCCTTATCTCGGCTGTGGTTAATTTTGTATAGAAATGCTTCCTTTTAAAGTTCTATAGAAATTTTATCAAACTTTCACAGAAAGAATTCTACAGAAATATTGATTTGCAAAATCATATAGAAATTTTATATAGATTAGATTGAAATCCTATGGATATTGAATTTTTCAAACTGATGCCAAAGCAAATTTTCAGGTTCTGGTGTACTGAATGGGATTAAAAAGTGCAAGAATAGAATTTTTTTTATTCATAAGTTTTGAATCGTTTCTGCTTGGAAATTTTTGCCTTTTTACCCCAAGCTTAATATTTTTTAACTTCTGAACTTATATAATGTTTTGTGTTATTTTGGCCAGTATTATGTACATAATGCAAAAACTAAATCTTGTAAAGGTTTTGAATCAATTTGAATCATAAAATGTGTTAAAAAGATTAAATGTCTACTGTTAATTATAAAATTTTAATTCCAGAAATTAATGCTTTTAATTTTTGTATATTTGGTCTTCATAGGAGAAATGTTTTCTTAATCTTAATTAAACTTAACTGCTATTTAAATGAATTATTTTTATTTAAATGTTTTTTAAAAAAAAAAGATTGAAATGTTTTATTAGAAAAATCACGTTCCGAAAGTTCCCATCCCCTCCATGTCATAGATCATTTCAAAATTATATTAAAAATTTCCATCCAGAAATTAAACTTTCATTCTATTTAATACCAAGAGAAAACTTTTACTTTATAATGCTTTTAAACACTCAAAAGCTACTATAGGATCTTTTATAGAAAATTAAAGCAAGTTAACCTGTTTAGAATTCTTTAGAATAGGCCCAGCTTTCTACTAACTAGATCTGATAATTTCAGTAGAATTCCATTAGTTGAGTACATAGTGTATCAGATTTTTTACGTTAGACCATCAGAAATCTAGCTCTGCGCAAATCCTTGTATTAGAATATAGCTCAAATCCCTATATAGAATACCTGCACACTACTGAAGCTATATCTAGAATTGTATATTAGAATTTAAAAATAAATTTCACAATGGAATATTTTTGCAGGATTTCTTAAGACATTTTCGTAAGGGAAGAGCTCAAACGCGTATATTCTACAGTATATTTTAACTGTTCGGCTGATAATTTCACTTAAAATTTTACAGTTTCAGCTAGTGGTACCAGAATAGGTAGTTTGAGTACACCTTATTAATAACACTAATTACTGAGATCTTTGTCGATCAGAAGCTTTTTCGTTTATCATTTAATCACAAGTCTCGATATTAGAGCCCATGTTTTTCTCCGGCTTTGAAATGTCGGAAGTTTATTCTGGATACGTGGCGCCATCTTCTATCACCACTGAGAACTTGGTAGTCTCGACTTTCTAAATCGCAGAAATGTGTTTAACAAACTCGACATGTCACACACTCGTACAGTATGAGCAGTGTTTTGTATTGTAATACTTTATTAATGTACATTGTTTCTAGTCACAGCTTAATTTCTAAAATTAGAAGTGTCAGAGCTCCACGGAAGGCCGTCAGGGACAACCACGAAATCGATAAAATATTAATTAATAAAACGATAGTAATAATTAAAAATTAAACATAAAAATCTAAAATAATGTTTGTAACTTAGTATAATAATAGCCAATGGAATAGTTAAACATTAATCTTAAAAGTGAAATAGAAATACATTTGGAAAGTGACTGAAGGGTCAGTCAAACAGCATTTCTTGGCAATCACGTGAAATTGCTTCCTTATAGTACTATATATTAGTCACTTAAAAAAAAAAAAAAAAAAAAAAATATTTTTAAATTTATATAAAAACCACGATCATGATTAGAATCCATCAGTATTCCTTTTTCCTGAAGAGACAGGTGAAGTTCATCGTATTAACCGCCCCGGGAAAGTGATACATAAATAGTTAAAATGTCAGTTTTATTTAATTGCTAAAAATATGTTGTGTTTGTAAAATAAATTTTTGTTGATATTTCGATACAATGAAATACTGGAAGTCATCTTATTTCGAGTTCTGGCTAGAGTTACAATTTCGTTGAAAGCGCACCAGCGGCCGAACGGTCAAAACACTGGTAGTTCCGAACTGTGTTCTATTCCAGGTGAATGGGCTGGCTGCATGAGCGTTTTCGTAGTTTTCCCCATCTGAAACGTGAGTACGAACCATTATGCCTTATAATTCTCCGCGAAAGCATCCCTCCCTGTGAGCAGGAGCTCTAGTCTGCTTTGCCGTAACCAATTTCGTTTACAAACGGGGAAGTACTGGCGGAGCTGTAGCCAGTGTTTTAGCGCTGGGAGACAGCTGGTGATTTCGAGCTTCATCCTATTTATCAAGAATGTAAAGCATTTCATTCTAAAATTTTGTAAATTCAATTGGCGCCCTCTGGAGGCTGCTTCCTCCTTATATATAGAAAATCATAATCATTCGATGATAAGAGTATGTTATGTATGATACGAGTTATGAAAGTAAATGTAAAAATAATGTATGTATGTATGTATGTATGTATGTGAATTAAATAAAATCCTCTAGAACGCAAATGCTTTATTTGGTTATCTAGTTGAAAGTTTGGCCATTTTGTTCTATTTGTTCTTAAGTACTTATCAACATAAATTTTTATTAATTTTATTGCCTAAGATCTAGTTGATGTTTCGAGATCTGGTCCAAGTTAAAAAAAAAAAAAATGTTTATAGACGTTCATATTCATTAATTTTGTTGCATAACGTGTAATAGAGTTCTGTTTGATTTTTATTTGGTTTCATTGTCAGCTATTGCATGCTTTTTTTTTTTTTTTTTTAAATAGCTGATGCTTTACAAAACCTTCCATACTATATTAAACATTAAAGGGTATACTGTGTTAGATTTGAAAATTTTTTGTTTCTTCAGAAACTCAACAATTGCCTCAATGACTACTGTATTTTTCATCCTTGTCTTATTGTATATAATTGCAATCTGTTGATTTGAAATATAATAATTTAACAGTCAGTGTGTAAAGAAAATTCATTCTTTAGTTTTATCACGAACAACGTTTTCAAAATAATCTTATAATTAAACACAACCAATTCAAAAAAAATATTCTGTTTTAAGTTAATAGTTCACCATAAAATTACATGCATTGAAATATCAGGAAGTTATAATAATGAAGATATTGTCACTTTCGGAAAACAGGAAAGTTTTCTGAAGTTTTCTGAATGTACTTTTGTATTTATTTCTTTAGTGATGTATAAGTCAATGCTACTTAGCTTGTATAATATTACATTACTGTCTATTTTGACTGGCACCAGTAGACTAGCAGATAAGATAGCTGAACACTGGATGTTTGATCCAGGTACAAATACTGGTGAATGGGATAGCTGCATGGGAATTTTCCTGTTTCTCCTCATGTATTATGTGAATACAAGTCAATTTCTCATAGAAATACCTTCTCAAAGGCATCCCTTTACCTAAGGTACATAGCTCTTACTGTACGTTACCTTGCTTTGTGTAACTTAGCATAGCCATCAACACCTTAATAATTTTAATACAAAATGACAAAAAATTTTTTTGCTACCATATTACCACAACAAATTTCGCCGGATGCACCAAACTGTGTCAACCATGTGTATGTGCATATAACAATTCTTCAGTTTTTAATAAGCAGCATCACCATTTTTGTATGTTTTTTTTTCCTTTTTTTTGTGTGTGTATTTGTGCAAGTTACAATGATTTTTATAACAAATCATTTATAAATAAATCATACTTTTTTAAATGTGAAATTAATTTTAAAATATGCACTTGTGGAATTTGTCTGTAATGGATGAAATAGTAGTATGAATAAAATTCTGAAAAATAAAGCTGTATCAAATTATAAAGTTACAGAAGAATGGAATTTGCTATGTTAGTTGAATTTAAATTACCCGGAATCTTTCTCCCTTCGCTGTTGCTATACCACCAAAAGAAAACCAATTATGAACAGCATCCTGCAAACAAAAACTTGCTTGTAACAAGGTTTATTGATTGATTGGTACAGACTTTAATGGCATATTTGTTACCAAATGAATCTAAAGCAAACCAGTATGAAGGGTAGTTTTACAGGTTAACTTGTTTTCAAATTAGCAACTCTGTAAAAGGGATCATCTAGCTGTACTGACACTGCATGTTCTTTCTCATATCTAGTTATTTGGTTTGGTTGTAACAGGCAATTAAGATAAAAACACTTTAACACTGCTTAATTTTTATGTATGGTAGCCCAGTTACATGACTACAACATTTTTCCACTACTTTTTTTTACACTGTAAACTTGGTTTAGAAAGTTATTTACCAAGATTTTGGGATGTTGTATAGAAATATCATATGGAACAACTACAGTCAAATGTATTGTTTCAGAAGAGAGTATATCCTCTTACTGAATCTTTTCCTGCACTTATTGTTTGATTTAATATTTCCAGTATAGTGGAATGACCATCATGAAAACATAGCGTCCTGTAGCTCTTTCTATATAATTCCATTCAGATATTCACACCTTTTTGTAAGTTAATGCAGAAGACAATACATATTTACATCTATTTCTGATACTTCCAATTTTAAGGAATAATCATGGAGTCTATACTGTTACATAGAAGATGCTAAAAAAATACTTAACAGGGAGTTTAACATTATTCATGCAACAAAGGAGCTGAGGTTTATTGCATTTTTAACAATATGTTAAAACTCATACAAGCATTTATTTCTTTTATTATAGATGTAAATCAATGACCAGTTCCTAAAGTATTGAAAGATAAAAGTCAAGGAAAAAATTCTCAGTTCATAGTGCCAAAGTATTTTGTTAATAATGATAAAATTCAATTAAAAAAGATTACTCATGTTATTATGTAGAATTGATGCTAAAATTCTATATTAGAAACAAGTATCGATTAATTGTGTTAGGTAGAATTAAAGAATAAACAGTGGGCGGAAATTTATTAAATGCATAAAACATAACAAAAGCCAGCGCTGTATTTATTCATCCATTTCAAAAAATTGTGGCTTTTCTATCCAACTGTCTTCAAATCTGTGAAATCAGAAAAAAACTCTAAAATTGTAATTTTTTCCAGAGAGAAGCATTTCCATCCTCAGAAAAATAAATGTTATAAAAGAATTGAAATACAAAATTTGTGGATTTTATGTAGAAAGTGAAAAGAAAATCATTATTTCATTATAATTTTAATCATAAAAACAGATCTGCTTAATATTTTTTGTAACAATAACAATAGAATAAAAAAATATTTTTTTAAGTATGTCCAGTGATATTAAAAATAGTTTTAAATTTTGATTTTGACTTGAAGATGTCCCAGAGGAGTTGCATGATATCTAAAATTTCTCTGAAACATAGTTTGAAAACTTCAAATTATGTGAAAAAAAGAAATGTAGATGTAAACAGCAGTGATTAAAAAGTTTTAATGACCAAAATATTTTCATTCCATCAGATTATTTGTTTATTTTGAAGAAGACACTGTAGAGACATTAGGATTTTTTTTTTGGAAGCTGAGAGACGTGAAAAACGAGCAATGCCCTCCCAGCGACTCGAACCATGGACCTCTCGAATATGTGCCGAGTGTGCTGATCATGTAGACATGCTACGAAGGCAAGAGAACCTTATAACACAATCCGATAATAAGATCACAAATAGAAGATAAGAATATTTTTCTTCTGGAAAATTAAAAAAAAAATATTCATATTGCATATATACAAGCCTATACCATAAATTGTACCATATATAAAATTCTTGGATTATCTAATGGAAAAAAAAAAGTAATAAATGTAAATATTTCAATAAATGAATGGATAAAAAATGGCCTTAAACAACCAATAGAGAAATTAATGCCAACAAAAACATTATTATTGAAACAAATGTAAATAAACACAAATTGCCTAATGTATTTAATTTGAATATCTGTTTTGGAACGAAAGGTGTAAACAGCCTTAATGTGCTTAATAACTCAGATTTGTAATGCATATATTTTTATTTCCAATGGTAGACAAAATATATATATATATGTACACACTATCAAATACACATACACAAAAATATCACACACTAAATAACAAACAGAGAATAAGGAACAACAAACAGAGAATAAGGAAGATTTAGTGCTTGAACATACTATTTAGTGCCTTCTAGTAACAGCCACAGAGATCCTGTACAAAGAGAGCTATGCATTTCGCAGGTGGTGGAGGTTGTATCTTGGGCCTTTATTACAAAGGATGATCACAGAATTTTCAAATAGAAAGGTTTCGCTGAATAATGACCGGGTAAAAGATAAGTTATTATGATGGAATTAGCCTTTGGGTATCGGAAATGGACATGTAGTTGAAGAATGAAAGCTTGCTTTAAATTACAGAGATTTCTAATATATTAATTTAATATATTTTAAAAATATTTTAATAATATAATACTTTTCTAATATATTTATTTTATTATCCAAAATTATTTTCGAATTAACAGAAAGGTACGGCATATGTTTCAGTGATCATTTGTCAGAAAGGCTTCTTCTGGATGGCTTAATAATAATACAAGGAAATAAGCTTATTTTACACATGCCTTATGGCATAAGAAAAGGAACTTATTAAGAACTAAAAAGTATATTAAGAACTAAAAAGATGTACATATACCATAGAAATTATTTTTAACTCTAAACAAAATTACTGGTTATCATTTCGGAAACAAAATTCAATACTTGCCCATAAATTGCATCAGTATTAAAACGAGCTAATTAAATTTAAATCATAAAATACAGTGAACCGTCTGTAAGACAGCCAGGCACAGCTGCTATAAAATTTTTTCTACGGAAGTGGTTGTTTTAGGGAGAGGATAATTGATGCCAATGTTATTTATGTTGTTAAATTACCAATTTTGTCGTCCTGGTACTGTTCTCTGTCTATGCATTTTGAATCTGAAATAAGGCATTCAGCACGGCATGCACACTGGGTGTAAGGAAAGAGAAGAACAGAAGAACTGGAGAGTTTGGTTAAATGATAAAAACCAAATCCTTAATACCACTATTGACAAGAGAGACCAAAATGCAAATAAGAAGCAAATTTCCTTAAAAGCTAACAATGAAGAGGGATTAAAATTAGAACTCAATGGTTAAAACCATGGGATTTTTATTGATATAAAACATCAAATGCCAAATGAAGTGGTGTCTCCCCCCCCCCAGTATAATTTTTCGATGTGGAGAAATGGAAAACATGATTTTTTTTAACTAGCAATCGTAGGTAGGCAATGCAGAATTTATGAATTTCTTTTCTTTGAACATAATTTTGTGTTGTTTTTCAGTACAAAATTTAGGACACGCATCTCTGCTGTTTGGAGGAAACTTAAAAATAGAACTCTGTGAACATAATTTAAAAAAAAAAAAAAAAAATACAGATCACTAAAATAAATAAAAATTTAGATTCTTTTCTTGTGTTCTAACATATGTAATTATTACTTCAGTAGATTCTAATATTTATTTTATAATCATGCATTATTACTACTTAGGCAACAATACAGACATATATAAATTTTCACTATTTTTTACTGTCATTACATGCACAATTGCTGTTTTTATTAACAAGAGAATTGAACAAAGCATATCAATACTTTTGTATCAGCAATATGAGTAAGTTTTTGTTTATTAAGACTTTTAAAGTTCTCACGATGAATTAATTCGAATAATGGAAATAATTGACTGTAGCATAGAGATTTATTCGTATTGCGTCCACTCTCGTATACAGCAAGAAAAAAAAAATTAAATATGAAGAGCGGCCCTTATCAATTCCGCAAGATTTTCCACATACAACCTTACCACAATTCCGAATAAACGAATAAAACGTAAACAAAGTACCGAGACTTCGTAATCGATTACAAAGTGAAAAGCTATCAGCTATTCGTCAGATGGGGAAAGGAAAGCGAATTGCCCTTCGCTAGAAAATAGAATAAGGTTAGTGCGAAGAACATGATTTAATAAACAAGGTAACACATAAAATTAAAAGAGGCCCCTTTTATAAAAATTTTTTATTAATTATTTATTTTATGTCTTTATTTCAAAACTTAAGAAATGTCTCGAACTTTCAATCCGATTTATTTAATGAATGGGTTTGTTTACATATTTGAAGACTGATTTTTGATTGTTAATTTATTGTTTAACTTTATCATTAATTTAACGTATTAATATTTTACTTCTCTTCACATTTTTTAAAATTTTATATATTATTTATGTTTATTCTTCCTGCTAGCCTTCCACAGGGCACCAGCATTTGTAATATTAAAAATAATTAACCACTGCTTCTTCTGTATATCTGATGGAATATACAGACCTCCCTCATCGTCAGCATCAAAATGGGAATAATTTTAGTTGCTTTCACAAGAGACTGCTAATATTTCTGCGTTTCATAATGTTTTTTTGGTGGGAGGGAGGAGAGTGTAAGCAGTTTAAAAATGACTTTTTATATTCAGTTTGAGTTTTAAAGTAGCTTACATTGTTTATTGTTTTACAAAATACATTTCAATTTAATAAGCTGTTGCTGTATTTTTCTGAAAATTTTCTTTCTTTTGAATATGCAAGCGAAAATTTTGGCAATTTTTTATGAGGTTAATTTTATGTAATCTTCTTTGCTTACACATTCGGCAGTTATCCAAATGTGCTTGTCACCTTGGGCAGTTTTTTTTTTTTTTTTTAAATATTTTCACCATATTCTAGTCAGTTTGCTTTTTAACTGATGTTTTTACTCTTAAAAAAACCGTTCCTTAATTACTGGCATAATATTCCGCATTGTTTTTATTGCAATCACTTAAACTGCTTTCTGTTTTTTCTTTTTCAGTTTAATGTTACTAATAGGAAAATGTTTAAATATTTTATTATGATGCAGTTGTTTCGCTATTTTTGCGTTTGAATATCCTTAATTTTTACTGTCAAGATCTTTGCTGTATTTGTGATTATTTTTAATATCGCAGTTTTATTCACAAAAGAAAATATGGAAATTAATTTTTTACAAATTGTATATATTTTTTGAATATTTCTCCAGAAATTGATAAATTTCTAAATTGAGGGGGAAAAAACTTTAGTCTTTCTGAAAAAATTCTCAAGAAGAAAGAGAGGAATATAACATAAAACATTTGATATTTTATTTCTTTTAATGTAATCAAAATTCAGAATTTCTGTTGTGAATTTTCTCATAATTAAGAGCTGAAAAAATTTATTGTACAAATCAGCCCTTTCGGTGTCTGTTGAGATGAATATGTGATTACTTTTTATAATAATACTGTTCATAATATAGAGCTGAATCGCTAGTTTGAAGAAGGAAACAAGCCTCAAACTAAAAAAAAAAAAAAAAAAAAAAAAAAAAATACCTATCCTTCTGCCTTCAATAAATTTACTAATTGACAAAAAAAGATTCTTCAAGATACACTTGAGTGAGACTTTTCTTTATGAATGAAAAAAACGAACGTGTTGTTTGTTTGTCATTAGCTGAATGGCTGATCACAGTAACAGTTTTCACTCCATCGTTGATTTTTAAAATTTCACAATTCCAACCTTGTTTACTTTTTACAGTATAATTAACCCATATACCGAGTCTGTTATAAATATTTTGTACTCTGACCACTTCCAGCTATGCAGTTAGCGACAAAGAATATGAACCTCAAAACCAAAGAAAAAAAAAATTCTGTTATCTTCAAGTTTAATGTACAAAAATGAGCTTTTATAGATGTCCTTTAAGAAAATAGCTTTCTCTAAAACGTTTCTCATCAGAGTTCTGTATTTTGCAATGCAGTCAGTATATAATAAAACTGGCATAAACCGCAAGAAAGTATGAATCATACAGAAATTAACATCACCTCCTCCCCAATAACTACAAAGCATCATTTGTATCAAATGGAAATTCATTTCCCCAGATGCACAGGATATCCAACAGCTTAATGTTGGTTGTCAGTTTTCACATGAGTGTGTTTAGTGAATTTGTGTTTTCTTATGTTGTATTTCTCAACCATGCTGCATATGTGTAATTTTGTAAATCTGAAAAATAACTATGTTTAACATTAAATGACCTCATGCATCTCTTGCAGGCTTCCTCACCTTGTCGTGAGAACACTACTGCTTTATTGTCTGATACTCTGAAGGCATGTATCACTCCTAAAGCTTCATCAATTGGTGTTAGTGTGCCTTTGCCTCGTCCTGAAGATACTTCATCAACTATTAGTAACAGCAGCATTGATGATAGTGAAAATGGAAGAGGAACCTGGAGTAGGCAGCTTGACTTCTTTCTGTCATGTGTAGGCTATGCTGTTGGCTTGGGAAACATATGGCGCTTTCCTTATTTATGTTACCGAAGTGGTGGAGGTAAGCATAATTTTATCATTTTCTGTAAAATTTGCAATTTTTTACGGAAAGCTGTAGTTGACGTCATACTTTGTAGTACCTCTAGATTCATAGCTGCCTGTTTAAATAGCATCTTATTAAATGTGTTTATTTTCATTTGAATGTCAAATTTCATTCTTTGTATTTCAGAAGATATTTGCCTGGGTAGATTCAGAGGATAGTCAAAATAAGGATGTATTTTTTAATGTTCAAACATAAACATATATGTTACAAACATGACTTCTTGAACATGCATTAAAGTGTTACTGAATTAGGGACAGACATGGCTATGCAAATTTTGCAATGTTGTGCCGCATTTATGCTCATGTGAGAGTGTTATGGTAACTGCTTATATAGCCTACTACTATGGCTGTTGTTAATCGGTCATTTCAATTGCCAGTGTGGGTAAAACTTCTGGTCTAGAATCCTACGATCATGGACAGCTAGTAGGCGCTCGACGCTTGTGCCATTCAATCAGGGCCAGATTTAGACTTGATAAGGTCCTAAGCTATGTGAGATATGGGGTCCTTTATAAGTCCAGATAGTATATGTTAGTGCCAAATATGATTTTTGGATACCTAGAGGGTTAAACTGAAGTACAATTAAGAAGTATATATATAGATAGTGAAACAGTCTATCATTTTTATTCATAACAAACTTAAAAATGCAATTTCTGGTAAAAAGAAACAAAAGTTCTTTTAAAAGGCACAATTTACAATTTATCTTATCTCTTGAAACATGTTATATAAATTAAGGAATTATATTAAACTAAAATATTTTATTTCTTGCCTTTGCCAGAGCAAAGTCACTGATGACATCATCAAATGATAAACTGCGTAATTTGTTACTTTCTATGCAGACGAGACTGATGGAACATAATTTATCTTGAATCATTGTTCTAAATTCATTTTTCATCCTCTTCAGCTGAGAAAAAGCTCTTTCTCCTGAGAATTTGTAACCATCATACTAAGAAACAATTTCAAATTGCTTCTAGATTAGGGAATGCTGATTGGACACAATCATTAAATATTACCCTATACAGATCCTGATGTTCAGACTATTATATTTCGCTGAATCATAGGCTTGATTTCTCTTGCAAGATTCACGTCCATCTCTTCAGGATAAGTTTTGCATAAAGCCCTAACTCCTTCACGAATATCTTCTTCTGTAGCTTCCAATTTTGTTAAGAATGAAACCTTTTTTACAGCGTCATTATGTACTGAGGCTTTTTGTGCTACACTTGACTCTAATGCATTCATCACAGGTATAAATGTTTTGATTCTGAACTTGTCTCTTGGCTCAAAGTGCTCTAAAGCATAATCTTCTTCATCATTGATATGCCTTCTTCTATATCTGCTTTACTTGTAATCAACACCAGGCAATTTTTCCTTTGCTTTTTCTTCAAAATGATCGACTATATCCCTTGGAACCTTTAACAAAATCCGAAAGTGAACCGTACAATTTACTATGTACATCTAGACTAATTTGGGGGTCCGGGTCTTGTAGTGATTAACTAGTCTTGTGAAATTCATCCAGCAAGTAACTCCACAGAATTACATTACCATAAATTTAAACTCCTCCATTTTATTCAAAATCTTTATGCCTTGATTTCTTGGTTCACTTTTCTTTGTAGTATTAATATGCAGCTGATGCAATGCAGAAATTATTTCATCATAGCTATCATAGATTGCACTTGTGACCATTGAATGTGCTTCCCATCTAGTTTTTGACAAATACTTTGGAACCTTTGAGTCACTTTGAAGAATGACAACAGTACTGCCCATCTGTGTGTAGGTGACGAAAAGAAACTATATATTTCTTGAACAATTCGAAAAATGTTTACTGCATCTAAACAACAGTCAACTGCTGCTCCAACAACAAGATTCAGGGAATGACCAGCACATGGAATATAATATCATATTTGTTAATCTTCAATATTATTTCTTGCATACCTTTGTATTTGCCAGACATATTGGTAGCATTATCATATGACTGGCCTCGACACTTACTAAAATCTATTCTTCACTCATTTGTAATGTAGTTGTACACCATCTTAGCCCCTGTGTTTCCGCCCATCTGTAGGGAGATAGAAAACATTCAATAGGGAGCCCATCATCTGGTGAAACATACCTCACTATAACAGTGAGCTGTTTAATATGGGATCACTCTGGAGTGGAAGCTACAGATAAACTCAAGTACCCTGCAGTTCTTAAATCATCCAGGATTGAGTCTCTTACTTAATGTGCCATAATTTGGATAAATTCATCACATATTGTTTTAGAAACATAAGATGTGACACCTGATCCTTTATTCCAAATTTTTTTATATGGCTTGCTAGAAAAGGATCAAATTTTGCTCAAAGTTCGAGTAATCGGAGAAAATTGACAGTGTGAGGAGAACCAAATGTTTCCATATCTTCTCTGAAAAGCAAACCATGCTCTGGCATAGTAATTATGACTACCACAACTTGTTGAAGAACATTTTTCCAGTATTAAATAGTAAATGAAGAATTTTTTGGGTAGCCCTAAGCTATAGCTTATGTAGCTTACACATATATCCTGTACTGCATTCAATTTCCGAAATCATCAGAAGGCTAGTATTTTTAAGGTTGACAGTGTTAAGAGTATAATGAGAATACACAGATGGTGTTTGTGTGTGTGTGGGGGGGGAGAACTAGCGATCAGGCATATTGCAAGGGACAATGAGCCTTGAATAAGCATGGTCTGAGGTGGCTCAGCTGTATTATACATAGCCAGCAAAGCGAAACATTAGTTCGAATTAATACCCAGCTGAATCAGGTCGCCAGTCATATAGTCACTGAATGGAACGTGTAATGCTTGCTTATGGGCTTCTGGAGCCATAACCCCACGACAGAACCATTGGTCTAAGAATGCCAATGAAGCTGTACGTCTTGCAAAGGCAAGAGAATACAGAGAATGTACTCTAGAGCACTGGAAATAAGTAATATGAAGTGATGAGTCACGATTCAAACTGCTTAACACTAATAAGAAGCCGAGAATATGGCTTCAAGCTCATGAAGCCAAGGATCCTGCATGCCAGGTTGGAACTGTACAAGGCCATAGCTGCTTAGTCATGGTCTGGGATGTTTTCTGTTAATAATATTTGGAATTTTTGGTATTGTACCAACTTCCTTCAGTATGATTCTGTACGTAGAGTTGCTGGGCAACCATCTCCATCCATTTATGTTGTCCTATCATTCACATGGAAATGGAATGTCCTAGCAAGATAATTGCATCTCTCACAGGTCCTGTTGGATGGCCATTCTTCTGACTTCTCTATCATGAATTGGCTACCTAAAAGCCCTGACTTAAATCCTCCTGAGCACCTTTGGGATGTTTTAGAGGAAGGTATGAAACCACATCACACAACACTAGCACCCTTCCTAAATTATGGACAGTTCTGTCTGATGTTTGACAAGCCTTTCCCATAGAATGCTTCTGCAAAGTTATTGAATCTATGCCTCGTCATGTGCAGTCATTATCAAGGCCACAGGAGGCCCAACTCGTTATTGACTTGCTAACCCTAATTCAGTAGCACTTCAGTGTATGTAGTTATCTACAATATTACTTCTGCTCTAGATTTTGCTGTTCTGCAGTTTTACTTTTCACTGGTTTCCTTAAGTTAGAATTAATTTTTTCCCTTTCTCATCTATTAAAATAAAAATGAATCAAGATTTAAAAGAGATCAGATGGATGGAGTATGTGATTTCTCCATCTGTTGAATACTGCAGTTTTATCATTGCTAAAGCTTTCTAGATACCTTGAATTTCCTTTTATCCTTACACATTAATGTACAGATGACTCATCGCTCGGTTATGTACAGATGATACATCATTTTAAAAATAAAGTTTTATGTAGCCAAAAAAAATGAAGTGTCCAAAGACAAGGATCTAAAGGAACATCCTGTTTGAGACAGATTTTAATAAAATTTAGATAGAATGTTTGAAAATTAGATTTTTTTGATTAAGCATCTTTCTGCATAAAACCTTGTTGATTTCAAATGCCTGTGTATATAATAATACTGAAACAATATTCAGATTCCACTGAACCATTTATGCCTCTAGATGAAGCCTTACTTTATTAAAAGTTTAATTCAATGTATCCTCAATTTTTGACTTTGACATTCAACTTGACTGCAATTAAAATATAGTTAGTTACAGTTTGCTTTTTCCCCGTCAAAAAAAGAATATTTATAAAATAGTGATAGCAGTTTGCATTTAATAAGAATTTAATATAATGTAATAAAAATTAAGTAAAAAAATTTGATTACTATGATTAATTTCAAAGTGCATATTGTAGCATTTTTCAGGGAGAAACTTGTTACAATTTTCTTGATCCAAACTCTATCAGAAGAAAAACATCTTCAACCTGAACAAATCCTAGCAGAAATTTTGCCCTTGAAGGCATGGAATCCACTTTGTTTTTAAATTGGCCTAAAGTTCATGTAAGTGCAGAAAAAAGTTACAAATACTTTTTCTCCCCAAATCCATAGTAGTGCAAATTGCAATTTTACTGAAAAATTAGGGAAGCATTTTTGATGAAATGTTGAAATTATTTAGAATAAAGCAACATAAAAAAACTGCAAATGCATTTCTTGCTGATTTGACTCTCTATGTATATACAGGGTGGTCAAGATAAATCGAATTCAAAGCAAGTGAAGAACACATGAACTGTAAGGCAGTATTATATAAGTTGGCCCAAGATAAACGTAGTGGACAAGGAGGACTTCACTTGCTTTGGGTTCAGCTTATCAGTTTATATTTAAGAAAAACTAAGAGTTTAAAGTTAGATCATTCTTGTAAGTAAAGCGAAAATACAAAACTACAAATTCAAAATGAAAAATAAAATACAAAGTAAGTAAATATGTAAAAAATTTGCAATCAGTAGCCAAATGGTTAAAAGCAGTAAAGGCTCCCAATTTTATCTTGTCTTTATAACTTACACTGACTCTTAGTTCAGTTACATAAATATGAGCCAGCTTTACAATTCTAACAGGGCAGGCACTAGGCTTATTTGCAGCCCAGTGCAATTTCTGTGTGTCCAAAATTCTGTTGCCTGGTGCCTCCTTGAATTCTGAAAATTTTGCCACCTCCCAAATTATACTGCACATTGTCCTTTGCACATTCTAAACATAAAACATTTTGCTTTCCTTAAATTTTGCTGCTTTGTGTTTCTCCAAATTCTAAAATTTTGCCACCTGATGTTGCCACACTGATTGTACCAGCTCTGAGGCTCTGTTTGATTAAAAAAACAGCCTGTGCAGAGATGCGCAAAGCATAGAATTCTATGTGTACTTTGTGTATTGCATGACTCAAGAATCTAGGATCTATTAATAATGAATCTAGGATTTATTAATGAGATGCTGCAACTTGTGATACCCGCGGAAGTTCTACAAGAACTTTTGTTTCAACCACATGTGCATCTTTTTTAGCTCTTTCTCATTTGCAACATGAACTATATCAGAAATATGTAAATTAATGCATTCTACAGTCATTGATAATGTTGTATTATCAAAAAGAATATTCTAGCTATTAAATGGATCATTAAGGTTTCTCGCTTATCTTACAGATCCTGGAAATTTAGTCATAATATTATGCGAATGGAATTTTGCATTTTGCATAATTTTTTTCCTCCACATAGCTTTTATATCTTTTTCCATAGTACCATCCAATTTAGAATTAATCATCTTTATCTATGTCAGGGCTTCTTAAACTATTTCAGCCGCGACCCCTGAACCCCATTAATATGTACAAAAATTTTGCGGTACCCCCATAAGCATTGCGCAAATCTGACACATGCGAGAGTGAAACTGTCAATTTTTCACTTGTACTGTAATATACTATTGCAGTTTTAGGTCATTAATTTTAATTTCCAATTTTAAGACATAGAACAATATGAATATTTTAAATAAGTAACAAAAGATATGACAGCATCACATGCAAAGCAAGTAAAATAAATGTTTGTATTATAAAAAGAATGTGTCGAAACAATTTCGTTTTTTCTTTGTCTGTATTGTCTTATCTTTATCTATTTTCAAATACATTCTTTAAAAGTATTTGGTAATTGTAAAATTATCATAATAAGTTAAAGAAATATCAAAACTGCTAAAATATTTGGCGACACCCCCTGCTGCAGGTCCCGCTACCTCCATGGGAGTCACGCCCCCACAGTTTAAGAAACTCTGATCTATGTAATGTGATAATAGCACTAAGTATTTCAGTGTCATTCTCATCTTTACTTTCTAAAAACAATTTTCATTACTTTCCACTGATACTAATTAATCTTAGTTGCTGCATGTTTAATTCATAGACTCATTCTCTTTGTCATAATACACTTTTGAAATCTCAAGAATATAAGTTTAAATCCTTTAATACTTATAAATGTTAGTGGGCAAAAACAATTATGCTGTTATACACTTGAAGTCAGTTTTTCAATTAAACAATCTGCCAGAAAAATGCTTGCATGAACAAGCACACCCCAGTTTCAACCATACCCCAGTTTCAACGAAGTACCAGTAACTCTTTCTAAATGCGCATGCAACTCTACAACATTTTCTGAAGGTCAACAACATTTAGAAAGTAAGCTACTTGATGCATTTGAAAATTTTGCTTTTTCAATTTGGTAATACAGTGCAAAGTCTTTAATCCGGACTCGTCGGGACTTCGGTGATTCCGGATTAGGGGTTTTTCCATATTATAGATCATCAATTTAAATCTGATAAGATGGCATGCAAAAATTACAAAATTAAAAATATCAAACCGTAATTTATGAAATAAAGAGCAATTATGATCTAAAGGGTATCAAAATTTACCAAAAAAAAGCTTAATATTTATTTGTTTACTTTATTAAACATTTCTTTCAATGTAAGTTGTTTAAGTTGCTTCGTTTTTTTGTGCTAATACTTTCTCTTAAATTCTATAAACAGACATAATTTCTTGTTCAGTTCCACTGTTCAAGTCCTATAATTGCTGTGTCGAGAATACCGACTAACTTGTCAATCAAAATTTTTTTCATTTTCAATAACCTCTCTGTCACTTTCTTCACTATTGGAAGTGGTACATCGAAACATGCTTTCGCTTTGTAGATCCTTTGGCAGCTCCAGAATCGGAAACTCTTTTTTGACATAATCGAAAGTTCAAGCTTACTTTTTATAAAATTGCTCTAACAGGCTGCAAAATATAATAAGCCGGATCCAATTAGAAGATTAAGAAACAATGCAATCTACAACATTAACTGAAATAGGTAATTAGATAATTTTAGCCTAGCTTATACCTTCCGTTATACATTAAATGTGCATGTGTAAACGTATTATGTGCATGTGTAAACGCATGTGCAGAATGTTTGTAGCTTTGAGGTCCGGATTATAGATCATTCCAGATTATGGATATCCGTATTAAAGACTTTGTATTGTATATCCCTTTTTTATAAGGTTGGGATGTATTACATCCCGCATGCCTTCCTTCAGGTTAACAAGACTTTTTACACCTTTGAAAATTTTGTCAGTTGTGTGGCTTTGTGTAAATGTTGTGGTGAAAGAGAGCCCTGTTAACATTTACTAATTAATTAAGATGACTTGAATAATCTGTTTGTGTGCCATTATCTGCAGATAATTTGCAGGACTTTTAATTCAGGGTCCTTACTTACAGTCACTTAGTTTTTTAAACTATTTCCATTTATTAAATGCAAGTTGATGTAATCTTGTTTTAAGTTGGAAGAAAATGACTTTTATATGTAATATTTAATGTTTTATTTTTCAGGAGCTTTCCTTATACCATATTTACTTTTTCTGATGATTTGTGGTATACCATTATGCTTCCTGGAAATGAGCTTTGGTCAGTTTGCGAGCTTAGGCCCCATAGCAATTTGGAAAATCTCTCCCTTATTTAAAGGTATATTCTGTTACACTAATAATAAGATAAACAAGTAAACTTTGCATTAGTGCTATCAAAAGCAATGTATTTTGACTAAAACAATTTTTATTTTTCAGGTTTAGGGTATGGTATGGTGTTAATATCTGGCATTGTATGCATTTATTATAATGTGATAATAGCTTGGACTCTGTATTACATATATCAGTCTTACCATGTATCATGGGCTACATGTGGAAACTGGTGGAACACTCCTAACTGTGTTGATCAGTTCTCTGAAAACATTTTTAATGCTAGTAATAGTTCTGTAACAAATGACGTAACCGAGGAGTTTGTAAACTGGACAGACAGTGCCAGTAGAGAAACCAGTTCCATTGCTGTAACATCTAATGGGAATAAAACTACATCAAGTGAAGAATTCTGGCTGTAAGTATTTAGAAGCTAGTTTGTCTTACTGTTGAAGAAATTAAAGATTTATTTTCTCTAGGTTGCCATAATAGAAATTACAAATAAGAGAGTGTATTGTTTTAGGAGTATTCAGTACTTGAAAAATATTAAAATAACAATATCCTACATAAAAAGCAGTAAGTTCTATTTAGGAGAAAATAACAATTTACCAAGGATGCAGAATAATGTTACTGACATAGAGAATGTATGTGTCTGGTAATAAAATGAAAAAACTGCCCTAACATTTAGTTCCCTTATTATTTTGTCAATGTTTCCTGAACAATTTATACTTCAAATAATGTCTTGTTCATGTACTCCCTGAAAATCAGGCCCACCAGCGGCTGAGCAGTAAAGTCGCTGAACACTGGTAGTTCAGTCTGAGGTTCAAATCCCACGAACGGGCCCTAGGTGTAACGTGTATACAAGCCAGTTTCTCTTAGAAAGTTCTCTACGAAGGCATCCCTCCCCTTAGGCAGATAGTTCTAGTGTGCTTTGCCATAATTAAATACACCACATACACCACCTTGAAAATCGCATGTGCACCTCCTGAGAATTCTTAATGTGCCTCCTGAAAGTCATGTCTAAACCACAGGTTCAGAAAAATTAATTGGTATAAGTTTAACTGAAGGAATATGGGAATGTTAATTAAAATTAATTGAAGGAATATAATAACTGTACACATGTGGAATTGTTTTCATATAAAATAGAAAAAGGCACATCTTTAGTTTTAAAAGTTGCTCATTGATTAGCAAACATTTTTATTATACATACATTAATCATAAAATTTTAGATCTACTTATTTAAACATATTCTATGTTGCCATAAATGAAACTTGCTGTTTGAAATGTGGCTGTTGATTTTCGGTGTTAGGCTTAAAATTTTGCAACAACTTAAGCTTTTTTGGTACGGCGATTCCTTTAAAAGCAATGCAGTTTACATCTTTGTTCAGAATGTTTTTTCTTTTACCTATAGGAAATTTTATATTTATTTTGAAAGTTTGTAACTCTTAGCTTCAGTATTTGTATACAGTGTTTAGATTGAAAATCTCATAAAATAGCATTGCTTCTTTTAAATTGTGCACTTAGAGAAACAGGTTGACTTTTTGGCTTCATACTGTCTTCTTCACTGGAAAGTCATATTTGAATGTTACTTCATATACTACTGAAATTCATTAAGTTTTATATAATTTTTGCATTAAGCATTTTTATAGATCAAACAAGCATTAAATTTAGTTATTTCTTTTTGCTTTCATTCACTTTTCACTGGCATTTTTTTTTTCACTTACTACTATTTTATACTTCATTAGTTTGAGAACTGTTTGCATCATACTGTATTAATGGTGTGAAAACAAAGAAATTGATTTTTTGATAGTTGCTGAATGAAGAACGATAGGTTATTTATGTTCCAGTGAAGAATTTAGTTTTGAATCAAATGAGCTGTAGTTAGGAAAAATTATTGCATAGTTTGAGACATCATGGCAAATAGTTTCAGAAATATAATTTTCAGGAAAATGTGTTTGCAATTGTTTAACTCGGGACATTCATAACATCTTGAAGATGTTACTTCTTTTGCATTCTTATTCTAGATGGATTATATAAGAAAAAGTATACTGTTAATTAGCACATTAAAGGCGGGGGATCTTGACGAAAGTATGCTAGGTAACGCGGCGACCACCCCGCCTCATTTTTCATCCTAGAGCAGGCGATATTTTGTGTAATTGTAAAAAAATTTAGACTTGAAAAAGTTTATTTAAACTCTTAAAACTACAAGAAATATTAAAAAAGAAATAAACACTAATTACAAAAAATGTTTTAAAGTATATATTTATGAGAAGAATCTAGTATTTTTTTATGAGTGTGATAATGTTGATAACACTTGCCATGGTAAAGAGGTGCATTGCAAAATTTGCATTTGAAGCAAGTCAACTTTCTTTTTTTATGTGCCGCACAAACTACGCAGTTTCGTTGGGCATATAGCTTTTTGCCTTTATTTTCTAGCCCAATTATTTTGTGCTTTTTGATGTGTAGCAAAACACGTCCAGGCGGATCAATTTTATATCGTGGAGTCCGTGGCTGAATTCGATGTACCAGGTTGTGGCTCTTCAATGTCCATCAATTCCAGATCTTAGGTTTTTTTGTCAGTTATAAGGCAGCATGATAATTCTAACAAATATTTTTTATATGTCAAGTTACTATTATTATGCATGTTATATACTAAATAGGAATTGAAAAATGCACAATTAGAGAGAGACTGTAAGTAGAATTTGAACAGCCGAACAGCTTCAAATCACAAAACATACGAAATACAAATGTAAAGTGGTGCATGGATTGCGCAATGTGGTTGCAAACCGTACTAATATGACTCTCGCCTTTAAGCTACAGTAGAGATAAATTGTATTACTACTACTCCCACTTTTAAGCTACTGTCCAGATAAATCGTATTACTACTACTCCCACCTTTAAGCTACAGTTGAGATAAATCGTATTACTACTACTCCCACCTTTAAGCTACAGTCGAGATAAATCGTAGTACTTTGACTTCCGCCTTTAAGCTACAGTCGAGATAAATTATAGTATTATGACTCCTGCCTTTAATGTGTTAATAACACTTGTAACCATTAAATTATTGGGACTACTTTATTTATTGGAATGGAAATTAATTAGAGAAAAGGAAAAACTTAAAAGAGGGGGACAAATTCCTCTTGCAATTACATTGTTATGGGTAAAAGGATGTTATGTTTGCAAAGGAGTGCTACTCGGCAGAGTTTAATCATTTTAACTTTAAAATTTGAATTAAAAGTTAGTAATTTTAAATGTGTGTTTTTCTACTTGTTAACATTACTTATCAATAGATTTCTTGCAAGTTTTTCTGGTCTGTAAATTAAATGAACCTTCATTTAGGATAACAAAATAATTTTAAAAGTTTCTTAGGTTAAAACTCATGAGTAGCAAATTTTCATGTGTGTTTGGCCATTTGGTTTATGCAATATCTGTAGTAGTGTCATTTTATGGAAAAAAATCAGCAGTCACCAAAATTTGAAATATAGAATGATTAGCTGAATGGAAATGTAGGCTTTGTTTCTACATAGTAACAAAATAAAGCTTGACATGAATATTTGATTTAAGGGACATTTTACTGAGGGATTAAAGATAGGTTTCAGATGTTTGAAATTTAGATGACTTTTTTTTTTTTTTTTTTTTTTTTTTGTTTGTTTGTTAAATGTCCATTCTGTTAAAGGTAAAGTGTAAATAGCATCTGAATGTTACTTACCCTTTTATAATATGCAAGCTGCTGTAATTTCATGTCTTGAAATCATGCTTTAGCTAACAAAGATGTAGTTAATAAGTTACTTTGAAGCAAAAAGAATGAAGAATTCATTTCATTTCTACAAATTTAGAATAAACTCAACATTTAAAATGAAATGAATACATGCATTTATATTTTACTTAAAGGTATTTACTTTAATTCATTTTCTACTGTTATGTTTAAGGGTACCGTCTATCACAAACCAATAATATATTTTTGTATATTAATATCCAAAACTAATTCTGATATACGAATTCAGGGTTAATATGAGTGCGATTGCTATGGACGTACCGAGAAATTATAAATGGACTACCGTCCCACATATGAGTCGCTAGTTTGTTTTAAGGAAATAAAATGGATAATACATGTGCTGGTCAGTAGCGAATTTGTTAAATACTTTATCATTAAACTAATATCAGGAAAAACATTTAGCCAAGATATATCCAAGAATAAATTTTACTGAACAAAATCTGAATCATTTCCTCCTTCCATGAGGGAGAAGAGAATTTTTAATTTCACGGTAATATAATTAATTGTTGTTTGTTGTTTTTGAATCTTTTATAATATGCGAGATTCAGTTTTTAACTTGTAGGTTTTAAGTTATGTGTTCTTTTCTTTGAAAATTGTTACTAAGAACTTATTTAATACTAATACATCGCTAATGGTAAATGAAATTGGTTGTAAACAAAATGAGATATTTTACAGAAATTTCATTTTAATGTTTGCTTTTCATATGTATATCATGTATTTCCCAACAAAATAAAATTCTAATAAGGATAAGGAAATAAAAACTTTTAATATGTCACTCCATATTAATTGTCTATTTGTTTTCAGACTTATTTTTAAGCATGTAATACTAGATACATTCTAAGCCTGAGTATCCATTTCCAATTAATTTTAATAAAAGAAATAAAACTTGAATTTTTATCTTGAAATGTAGGTCAGAGTAAATATTAGATATTTCATCATATTTACCTTAATTTTTCCATAATTTAAGAGCATAAGTAGCATTTTAAATTTAATGAATGGTTCTTAGTGTTTTCAATATTCATTTTAGTCAAGCTACTAGTTTACATTGACTGAAAACATTTAATAATCCATTCCCAATGATTTCTTTTATTATAGGTATAGATATAGATAACATACACAAATAGATCTAATATATTAAGAGTAAAACTTAATGATTAAGATAGATCCATCAAATAAAACAGAACAAAGTAAACAAATGTTGACAATATTTTTTTTTGAGAAGTTTTGAATAACATCAGTTTTTATCCTCATTTAGAAGTTGGTAATCTTGTTTTTTACTCACTAGCACTACTCTTGGTGCTCTTAAATTTTTTATTAACTGCCAAAAAATGCAATATAGTAATGTCATTAAAATGTGCCCAGCAAAAGCCTCTTTAATGTACCAACATTTTTGAAAATATGCTAACATGTCATTTAAAATATCGAGTGATTTACTGCAGCAGAACATCTAAAATCAGTAACATGATTTAAATAAATTATTTTATTGAGTATGCACATTGTCAAGCATTTCAGTACATATTTATCATTTTTATGAGTTTCCAGTATTAAAACTTTTATAAAAGTTTCAACTGAAAAGTTGGCTTTTGATTTTACATCATAAACGGAGAATTATAACAATACAGTGCTATAATTGCATGTTTTAAAAGCATTTACAAAGTATTAAGTATTTGTAGAAACTAACAAAACAAAATCATGATATTTCTTAGCTTATTGCTGATAAAATAATAAATATTATGTTATGCATTGAGGGCTATGTTAATTTTAATTATTGCTTACATAATTTGAAGTTTCAGCCTTGAATGTTTTAATAAATTTACGAATTAACAATTTATTCATGTTTCTTAGGTACAATGTACTGAATCAGAGTTCCGGAATTGACAGCATGGGTGAAATTCAGTGGCCCTTAGCATTAACATTATTTATTGCTTGGGTGCTTGTATTTTTATGCCTTCAGAAAGGAGTCAAGTCTTCTGGCAAAGTAAAATATTTTCTATACTTCTTTAAAGTGTTTAGTTTGAAGTGTATTTATTGTTTCTTAATATGCTGAATCATTGTAGGTAGTCTATGTGTCAGCAACATTCCCTTACGTTGTTCTGGTATGTCTGTTGATTAGAGGTCTTACTTTACCTGGAGCAATGAAAGGAATTGCATTTTATCTTACACCACGTTGGGAATTATTAATGAGTTTTCGGGTGAGCATTGTCTTTTAATATTAAATGCATTGCATTTAAATAACTGAATATATAAAAAAAGTGTAAAAATTTATCATTTAATTTTCCTCATGCAGGTTTGGGGAGATGCTGCCACTCAGATATTTTATTCTGTTGGTGCTGCTTGGGGTGCTATTCTTACAATGTCCAGTTATAACAGATTTTCAAATAATGTTTATAGGTAAGATTTGAAGTTAAGCAACTGCATGGTATTCTTTTAAGTTTTGACTTCTGCATTCTGTAGCAAATGTATTGTTTAATAATTATTTTCATTTCTTTAACATTCAGAGATGCTATGCTGATTCCCTTAATCAACTGTGGAACTAGCATTTTTGCAGGATTCGTGGTGTTCTCAATCATTGGATTCATGGCTTATGAAACGGGAAAAACTATTGAAGAAGTTGTCTCTCAGGGTAATATGATTTTATGTAGAAGTAAGATGAGTTTTACCAGTTTAAAATTAATTTGTTGGTGTGCTGTTGCAAAAATTTCAAATAGGGCAACTTAAATTATAATAATTTTTGTAAGTATTTCTTTAATGGTATAAAGAAATGTTTAATATAAAGAAATGTTTAAAAGTAAACAAATAAATATTAAGTTTTTTTTTGTAAATTTTGATACCCTTTAGATCAAAATTGCTCTTTATTTCATAAATTACAGTTTCATATTTTTAATTTTATAATTTCTGCATGCCATCTTACCAGATTTCAACTGATGATCTATAATCAGGAAAAACTGATAATCCAGAATCGTCGAAGTCCCGACGAGTCCGGATTAAAGACTTTTGACTGTATAAAATTTTAACTGATAATTAATATTCAGTTATGTATTTCTCTGCCCACTATGATATATTCAGTTATGTAGTTTCAGCACTATAATGTATATGGCTTTGCCACCCTTTCGCTGTGTTTGATTTTATTACTTGTCTTTAGAATCACCATTTTGTACAGCATAGGTCTGACATGAATTCGCATGAATGCTGAATTATGTCTTGAAGGAGAAAATGTGTACTAATGATTAATTGCTTATGTTTTATATTTAAGTTTTACTCATGTTAGAACATATATTAAAAGCTGGCTTTTGTTACATTTTAAAGTAGACTTTACATCAGATTAAAAAAAATTCTAATTAAAAAAAAAGAATTTTCATATTTGGTAAATTATAAAGATTGTGAGGACTGGGACATTTCTGTTGCTGGTATGAATATCGAGTAAAAATTTAATATGGCTCTTTATAATCGTAAATAAAAACTGAAGACAATTTGTTTGAATGCACTGGTAGTTTTCCTGAATTTTTCTTCCATAAGAATAATTATAATCGAATTGTACTGAAATTTCAGTAATTAATTGTGTGCTAAAAACATATTGTTATACACAGAGTTATCAACAAAAACATTCCTTGATTTTTGAAGTGACCACAAAATCAAAATTTATTAAAATATTGTTTTAATTTTATGTACATGGTTTTATCAATTCATCAAGTTTCATGTGATAGTGGTTAATTTCAGGCATTCGATGTATGCCTCTCGTGTTACCAGGAAAACATAATTTCAATGATCAAATTGAAACCTTATACTCTAAAGCATATTCAGTATGATTGAATATGCTGCTTCAGTTAGGCAAAACTGACTTGTTGGTAGGTGAGTTCACATTAAATTAGCACTCTGAAAGCATACTGCACCAGCAAGGCACATTTTCATGTTGTGAAATTCTAACATACACCAACTGCATTGCTGTTGGATGGGCACCATTTTGAATTTGATTTCATCATACTCTAGTGTATAAGGATTCCACAAATAGAAAAAGATTTTTTTTAAATTCAGTGTACTCATTGACACCTTAAATTTCAACATACTCAAAAGAAATCTGATTTTATAATAACTTCAAATCAATGAACGTTTTATGCAACCCTGTATTTTATGTTTTTTTGCAAAATATGTGTAACCATTTTCTGAAGTATTTTTCATTTTTATTTCAGGTCCCGGCTTAGCATTTGTTGTTTATCCTGAGGCAGTTTCACGATTGCCTTTCTCGCCCATCTGGGCATTTCTTTTTTTCTTTATGCTTTTTGCCATTGGGTTGGATAGCCAGGTAATAAAATTATCCCTTATATTTCATTCTGTGAATAGTCCACTTCAGGTCTCGACCTTTCACATGGAATATGTCCTGCAAATATTATATCCTTTTCAAAATGATAACCTTCTTTTTTTAAAGTCTTCATGATGATTTTTAAATTTTCTTCCTTGTTAGGCTGGTACTGTTTTGCTTCTCTTAATTACTGACTTTTTACAGCTATTTGTATTTTTGTAGAACATGCTAGTTTTAAATTAGTTATATAATTGTTATTGTTCTCATGATCGGTAACTCTTACACATATTGCTCATGTAAAATGAGGAGGCTAATGAATTTTAGTGGAAATATATTCAAAAATAAAGCCTCAGGTGATAAATCTCTTAATTTTTAACATCAAATTCAAATTGATGCATTATATTTCAGAATTATTTGTTTGAGAGTTGATTTCATATTGTTCTAATATATCTTAAGCCTGTCCTTTGTCCCAAAAATGCAATTTTGTTACATTATATGTTTCAAGGGAATGTTTGAAAGTGTTATTCGATTGATATTTACTGCATTTTTGCTTTTGTTTTGCAGTAATAGTATGAAAAATTGCACTACATTTTTATATTTTACTAACACTTAAAATTAAATGCTATATTGAAAAGTAGATGTAATGTTTATATGCATAGTTATGACAATATGTGTTTGAGGTACTGATAAGCATTTTAGTAAAAAGACCAGTAATTCTTGGGAAAGCATTACTGTACCAGAGTTGAAATTTGAATAAAGTAGGGCATGTTCTAGTTAAAGGAAGGCCTTTTTGTGTTATGGCCACACAATTATGAGCAACAGAAAAAAAAAATAATAATTGAGCGAGAAACTTGGACTAAAAATTTTAGAATTCTAATATAGTGTGGCCATTTGTGTTTTCTGATATAATGTACAATAGATCTTCTATATAATATTAAACAGAAATCAAATATTAAGACAACATTTTGCTTGCTAAATAGCTTATTACTTTAATGTTAATTTTTATTAGTCATATTAATTAAATCACAGCAAATAGCTTTTACATTTTTTAATGTTTTCATTAGAAGTTCTAATGTACATTAATCAGACATTCAAAATATTCACTGAAAATTTAGTTTTCATTTAAATGCTAACTATCGCATTTACTTTTCAATGAAATGCTTATCATGCTCTGTGGCGTTCGTTTCAGAATTAAGCACTTTATATGAAAGTGTATTTTCTTAGGAAATATAACTTAAATGAGAAAGTTTTGAAATGCAAAATATACATATTTAAATAGTCAGGATCTGAAAGTTACCTGGACTAATATCTCCTAATATCAAATGCCAGCTGAACCAAGTATTAAGTGCTAAGTAAGCTTTACTTCGGGGTTTTATTTTATATTTGTAAATTAATAGCAACCTGTCATAATAAGACTTGTGCAAATTTGTGTCTTTGTAAAATAATTCAGTGAATATTTTAATGTGTAGTTTTTATTAGATATATTATGTTCCTCTTTCATTGTATCTTTCTGTAACAAAAGTTATAACATGCAATGATTTCCTGTGTTGAAACCCAGAGAATCTATTGCCTTGTTTATAACATGGCTGTGGAAAAACCATTGTCTGTTGAAATCAATGATTTGGTTTTTGCTTTTCAGCAGATATTTTCCTTCCTTTGGAGATACAACTGGCTGTGTTTTCCAGTCTCTGTAACTGCACTTAAATGTATATTGCAGATCTGATATTTAAAGATAACATTTTGATTTGCGCTTCAGTTATTTTTTAGACTGGAGAACACGGTCAGTTTTCGATGACGGGGCCAAAATGGTTCCAGCGAACCCACTGCCGATTCTGCTGCAGCAGCTAAGGAGGTACTTTTTAGCTCTGTACACGGTAATTATGAATTAAGGGTATGGACACGAATTCAAAATATTGCAGATAGCTTCAATATTACATCACTTTTTAGTGAGGGGGGGGGTATATACCATTTTGTGTAGCTCAAATTCTGAATTTAGCACATTGCTTTCTTCCACACTTCTGATGTTTCAGAAGTGTTGTTTCCTCAATCAAAAGTCTTGCCTCATGTGTATTTCAAAATTTTACAAACACAGCAATTTAAGGCCATGAAATTAAATTTTGTATAGGACAGTAATTTTGTATTTTCAGTTTACTAAATTTAATTTTTAAATAATTATAATTAAAATTTAATAACTTATTGCTGTACTTTATCCATCATTAGTTAAATTAAAAATTTTTGTCTCTTAAATTATGGAAGTAAGCTGTCAAGTTTATTGTATACATTTTTAATATTTTTAACTTGATGTAAAAAATAGCTGATTAAAGGAAAAAATAGGATTATTATTTGATATTAATTTATCTGAAAAATATGGTCATTTTGAAATTTTTGTGAAGAATTGAAAATGTTGGTTCTTAAAAGCATAGATAAAATGAGGTTTTATACTTCATCAAATTTAACTGTTGTCTTAAAATTTTGTTTATCAGAAATCATTTGGGATTGTTACTTTATTATTCATCACTAATAAGATTTTAGAAATGAACGATTCTATTTTCTTAAATATCAGTCAGATTAATTTAACCTCTGTTTTCTGAGTAAGAAAGAATTATTTTTTGTAATTAATGAAACTCATTATTTTTATTTATTAGTTTTAATTCTCAGATAAACACAAAGCAAATCTTCAAAGCAGTCTTCTGTGAAATAAATTTTAATTATTTTTTCTGCTAATTACCAAAAGCAGAATCTGATATAAGAAATTGTCATTAAAAATTATCACAAATTATTATTACTATTAAATTCACACGTATTTTTAGTTTCTGCAGTTTTTCAATCCATATAAGAATCAAGAATAATTCAGAAGAAGCATTTCAATGTTTTTCCTTCTGGAAATAGATCACTGTAAATGTTAAGCCCTTGTGGTAAACCATGGGGCCCCATGGGTTGCAGGTTTTTCTGGATAGTTAGTAGGAAGGGACAACACCTGGATCACATATTAGTAAATATCTGGTGTCCCCCCTACTTCTACCTGTACCTGTAAATGTTTAGCAGCTTATGCAAATAGAAGTGAAAATTTGTGTAACATTTTCTTTTTGCTTGTAATGAATAATTTAGTTGCTGTGTTGTTGTAACAGTATTCAAAGCAGATTGTATTTCTTTCTGCTATGCAAACTGTATTATAGTGAAAAGTTTTGGAATTAGCTCTTATGCAGCATCATAAAAATTTCTTAGAAAGGGAATATTTTATAGCAAAATCACCAACAAGATATGCACAGAAAACATGCTTTGAAACATAGTTTCAATATCTGACTGGTTTTCGAACAAAGTGTTTTAACTTTTTGTTTACAAATCAGCTTGTTTTTAACATTTTTACTTTTATGAATTTTTTATTAGATATGCATTTTTTTCATTTTCTTTTAATTCCATATTTTACCATATTCATGTTAAAAGATTCTGTATTGAAAATTTTATCACTTATATCCTTTTAAAGTTTTTACTTTGCATGAATCTTTATTGTATCTGAAATTTGTTATTTTTGTTAGAACTTTATGTTGAATTAATAGATCCAATTTTATGTTTATTACTAAAAGTGTTTATATCTATTTGGAAAGATATAATTTCATTTGACTTAAAAATTTTGTTAAAGAATGAAGTGATTGCTTTATACTTCTCGTCACTGAAATTGCCTCATTAAGACAGTTATTCTTAGTTTCTCTTTGTTATGCCTTTGCTAAAGAATTAAGATTCTTTAATTTCACTCATGGCCACTAATTCTCATACCAATAAAGTATAAAAATATTTCACAAACCAGTGCCAAATAATATAAATTTCTTAAATATTTTTGGAATAAATACTATTTTAAATTTATAATTGGCAATCTTAAATAAATTATCAAATATATAGCTTAGAATTTAAACAAGAAGTTTTTTATAAGTGCCATATTTTTAAAGGGTACATTCTGAAACCTTATTTTTCTGCGTTGTTACTTGTTGCAGTTTACCATCTTAGGTACATGAGTTATTACACTAAAACTGCACTCATTTGTTCCTGAAATTCTGAAGTTAGCATTTATGACAAGTTCAGCTTTTACATTTATTTTGATATATATTTCTCAAAATTTAGACTTTCTGATTCAATGCACATACTATAAATTGTGTTTTAATCTTTTGAAAGCAGAAATTGCCAAACCAACAGAAATAAATTTTTGAAAATGTAAATTGGACTTTAAATATATATTTAGCATTTATAGAAGCATTTATGACCCTTGGTGGCTTTTATTGCATGCTAGACTTTATAATCATTTGAATTCTTATTCTTAATTGTTTAGTTCTTGTATCCAAAATTTTAACAATTTCAGCATATAACTGAATTTGTTTTTCATCTTTGAAACAGTATTTGCATTAACTATTGTGCATTCTTCCATAAATGTAAACTTTTCTCTTTTCTTACTCTTAAAACCATCTAAAATCCTTGTGGAGGCTATTTCAGTGCTGTAGAATATGGGTGTGAATTGCTGTGTCAGATAGCACATGCAGTGTGGTTGATGATTTTTGCTATCCATTAATGTAAATTATAGAAGCACCAAGTGTGCTGTAGGTCATGCTTTAAATACCTTTATATGTGTATTTTTATGATGATAGTATTAGGTTTCTGTGCGCCCTTTGGAGAGGATGACAGTGCCAGCTGCAAGCCAACACACCTTGTGACAGTGTAACTTTTTGTGCACTATTTATCACTCTTCCTATTTTTTGTACTAGCCATATAATTTGTATTTTTCTTTTCAAAATGCCAGTGGTCAGTTTGTACATTATATGATTTCATCTGCAAGTTATCTTGGGGGGGGGAAGCTTTAGTTTAGCCATGTCATTGCATAAGTTGTTTTATGGATTTGAAATTGTCCTTAATAAAAGTATTCTTAAAACAAATGCACTAAATCTCTTTGACTGCAAAATTATTTAATGCTTTAAATGAAGCTTCATATTCTATGACTAGAATATCTTGATATTTTGATTTCTGTTAAAATTTTGCTAAGAGGTAATTTTAAACTTTGAATATTTTTATGTATTCTTTTTCATTTTTATGTTTTGAATGCTAATGAACATTAATATAATAATCATTAAATGAGATTTTAAACTGAAGTATTATTTTATTAATGAGATATATTTAAATACCAGAGATATACAAGATCTTTCTTCCCTGAAAGCTATTATCATTTAAGAAAACATTCTAGTCATAAATTATTGTAAACTGTGCCTTGTGAGAAAAGTAGTTTTTGATTACCTAGTTGCTTTCTAGCACTGTAAACCTTTTAGCAGTTGAGCTGATAAAAATTGTGGAACCCTATTCATGTGATGTTAGATTTTGTCTAAACCAAGAAAGCTGCATTTCCTAGTGTGCAGTAAATCTGATATTGCAGAATTCAATTGCAATTCCTTAATGGAAGATCTGATTTAAAGAGCATAGCCCTTAGTAATCTACTTAATTCAGTAAATCTTTAAGTAGCCCTGTGAAATTTATAAAAATAGCTATTCACAATTAATCCTATTTGTATTTGCATATCTATGTAATTTTATGTTGCTTAATAAATTCTTAATTGTTACTATTTATATTTATCATTTATCTGATAAACATATAAAACCTTGTGGCATTGGCAGGCAATCTGAACCTGGATGTGCTAAATATTTTTCATTTAACTGACCACTGAGCATAATATTTTTGTCAGCACTCCAAAGCACAAGTAAATGATTAAAAATGAACACTGTTTTTGTCATGTAGACGAAAATTTCTTGTAAAAGAATTTTATTTCAGATACCACTAATCTCAAAATTTTGAAAGAATTAAGATTATTTAAAAGTTTTAGTTCAAAATCATTGTAATATATATAACCTATCTCAGTGTTCTAAGTTTCCTGAAGAAATTTGCTTGTGATTGGACTTCGCTTGCATGTTTTGTCATAGTTGTGGTCAGCACTAATTATTAGCTGCACTTTGCTCTTATTTGCTTAATAGATATGAAAGTTTGATCCTGGACTACTTTTTTGCTATTTGTAGCTTTTATATCTTCAGCAAAGCTGTTTTTTAATGCTTAGATGCAGCTGTTAGGGATTGAAATGCTTCTGAGAGAATTGTTATTTGTGCTTTGGCTGCAGACCACAGCATATGGCATTATGTTTTTCATTTTATTTCTACTTGCTTTAATCCAGTTTTATATCTAAGCTAGTAAATAATATTTCTCAATTGCTTTTGTCTTTTCAGTTTGGCATGTTTGAAACAGCTATAAGTGCATTCGTGGATGAATTTCCTAGTGTATTGCAGAAAAGAAAAACACTTTTCACTGCTGTATTGTGTTTCATTATGTTTCTCTTGGGGCTGCCTTGTGTAACTGAGGTACAGTAATGTTCTTTGTGTTATGTATTTCTACTTCATGTTTATTTCATTAGAAATTAAAAGTAATATATTCTGGTTTTCATACTTTGAAGGGTCAGGTATGTTTTTAATGGAAGTATTTTGTATGACGTGATGGTGTTTAAAATGTTTTAATCTGAAGTAAAAACAAACTTAACATAAATATATACATGTAAAAAAGGATTAAATTTTGCTGTTAGAGAACTAATATTACATATTTAATCATTATCATAGAGGCAAAATAAACAGAAAATGTAGCATAAAGACTTTAATGACATACGTTCACTCTTGAAAGCTATTATCAATTAGGCATTTAATTTTGTAAATAGTTTGTAACATAAAATTTGTAACAAGTTTGTATAGTTTGTAACAAATGTAGGAAAGTTATATACTAACAAATATAGGAAATACTTTGTAATATATACAGTACAAAGTCTGAATCAGGACTCGCTGGGACTTGGACGATTCCGGATTTGGGATTTTTCCAGGTATTAGGTCATCAGTTTAAATCTAGTCAGATGACATGTAGAAATAATAAAATAAAAAATATGAAATCATGATTTATGAAATTATGAAGTATTTATGATCTGAAGGGTATCAAAATTTACAAAAAAAAAAAAAAAAAAAAGCTTAATATTTATTTGTTTATATATTAAACATTTCTTTCAATGCAAGTTGTTTAAGTTTCTTCATTTTTTGTGCTAATACTTTCTCTTAATTCTGTAGACAGACATAATCCCTTGTTTAGTTACATTGTTGAAGTCGTGTAACTGTTGTTTCGAGAATTCAGATTAAGTTGTCAATAAAAATTTTCTCGTTTTCAGTAACTTCTCTGTCACGTTCTTCACTATTAGTAGCGGTATTTTCTGGATCTAGAAGCATACTACAGATTTTGCGATTCATTGATTGTTGATTTGAGAAGCATTGTCATCACAATGAAAAACTTCTTTTATATCATCTTCATTTATTACTGCTTCTCCATTCTTCTTTACAAAAATTCTTTACAAATTTCTTTACAAAATCCGTTAAATAAAAAATTTCACCTTTGTTTTGCAATATCCTAAAACCTTTAAAATTAGCGGCTATCATCATCAAATTTAGCTATCCTTCACTATACATATTTGGCTATGCATCATGTGCTTGGCGACTAACAAGTTGTTCCATTAAATTTTATCTTGCTTCTATCGTGCACTGAGAGAATTAAGCCTGAATTGTATTAGTTTTAGTTATTTATTATACTTATGTCAATTTCTTGCACATCCTTAAGGCTTATTAGAGTTCTGAATAAATAAAATCCAACATATACTTAAGCTTTATTGAGGGCTAGTGCTAGATATCTTACCGCCTCTGTGGGTCCTAAATTCTGCAACTCGGTGCAGCCATTCAAACCCTGGTGCTGGTTCTGGGTTTATGTGAATAACAAATTAGTTATTAATTCAAATAGCCTTAAATGTAATCTTTGGGTCTATGAGTGTCATCAACAAAATCTATTTTTAGCATATGGAAAGAAATTTTGTGTAATTTTTTCCTCGTCACCATTTTTTAGTTTTAGTTTCTCCACTTGATAAATATATATACAGTACAAAATCTGTAATCTGAAAGTAAATCTGTAATCATCGGCAAGTGTAATGTCAACATAAAAGGTTACCATACTCCTTTATTATTCAATTACTAACATAAAAAAATTGTTTAGGCATTGCTACACGTGTCATTACTCAAGTTGTCATGTTTTGATAAACATGCAGTGATGAAAGGAAAGTATAATAAATAATGATTCGTCAAGTTGGCATCAGATCAACGATGTATCTATATGGAATGTTTCGGTTTGAGATGTGTGCCAAAGAGATACACAGCAATGGAGTTAAATTACTGATCAAATTTATGCTAAAATGAGTGTTTCTTCAATAACAAGAATTTTATTTAGTGTCAAAGTGAAATTAAGAATCTGAACTTTCCAAATATTTTATTATGCACCGAGGTGGGCAATCGTATGCGCATGCGTAAAGCCTACGAGAAAAACATTGTTGGTTGCTTTGAGGTCCAGATTTTAGATCATTTGGATAATGGACGCCCGAATTTTGGACTTTGTATTGTAGTATAATATAGTTTGTTTAAAATATAAGAAATAATAAAATATAGTTTGCAACAAGTTTTGTAAATAGTTTTGAAACAAGTAAACATGTCCAGCAGATCCTGAGATTTCTGTAGCCATTCTTATATCAGTTTCACAGATGGATCTTTTTCAGTAGCTAGTAGAAGATGATATTTTGATATGCCATCCAAAACCATTTCTTGCATGATATATGAAAATGGAGCACACAGGTCAGTTTCCTTGGTCTGTTCATTCTTTTTTCAGGAAGCCACCAGGCTGAATAATACCAGTGACTGTTATCATTCGTTTGAATTTCCAAAGAATTACAAAAATTCCTTGCACAAAATTCAGTAACATCATGATAATAGTACTCAGCAATTATATTCCTTCCCTTATACCAGCTGTCCATTAATATCTATAACTTTTAAGTCCCATAAATTTGAAACATTTGTTTTGGTAACAAGTAGTGAAGTTAGTCATAAGTCATATTTACAGTTCTTTTATTCTGACCTTCAGGAGTCTTCCCCTTTAATGTGAATTTTAATCTAGTTTTCACAAGAACGAAATCTTTTTAGTTCTCTCGCATGTAAAAAGTTTTCTTGCAACATCTGATCCAATTAGGATTTCAGTAGAACTTGGCTGCTTTTGCCTGTCTGAAAGAATAAAGTTTCAAGTTCTTGAATTGAGTCCATAACGAATTTGAGGGATGTCACCACAAATCATTTCTTGATCTAATGTTAGTAGATTGAAAAGATTCTTACCATCAACATATCATGAATAAAAGTTGTTTTAAGGAATTTAACTGTCCTTCCAAATAAAAAAACACTGTAAAATTTTTTCTTTATTTAGTTCATAATTCATATTAAAAGCTGAAGACACACGATTTCTGAAATCCCATATGTATTAGTACATGAATATAACTATGTTTTATTCTCTTATAGCGAGTGCCTGAAGAAAAACCTGAAGAGCAGGAAATTTACATAACTGTCACATTCTCCATTGTTAACTTGTGTGACATGTTTTCACAAACTGAGTTTACTTTTCTCATTATTATTAATTCTATGTTCTTCTGGACATATTACCATAAAATGCTTCTTTTAACATAGCATACATTTCACTGAAACATTAGTTCTTTGAGTTGTGTTCTGATTTCAAGCAACAAAAGCAAGAGCTTTTATCTAATACAATTTTTTTTTTTTTGTCAGTGACATATTTTTATCTTTGAAGAATTCGTTACTGTTATGTTTATCATTACAAAATAAAACTTGTATTATTTAATTTATTTTCTTTAGTGATGTAGTAATTTATTTATTTACTTTTGAATCTACCTTTTTACTTTTTCAAGATTTTTTTCTCTTAAAACTGAAACATAAATCTGTCATTGAAACTCATTGCTTAGTTTTACTTTATTATCAAAATGATCTTTTGGAGTTGCACGAACTGGTTGTTACTGCCAGTCTTTTATTAATTCCTCTGTAATACTAAATTCAACTAACAGAATAACATTATATGAGTTTTTTGCTAGATTAGACACTCTCAACCGAGATTCTAATTTGTTATATAAAGCTTGAATGATAAGTAGAGTTTTTATGTTATTTTAAATAACTAGCGGCAAAATTCTAATATAAACTTTTATTAATAAATCTTCTTTACCAAATCTTAATTTTAAGGTTTCTGACTACTTTTTGGTTAATTATATATGTAGTTGCAGGTTAACTGACTTTTATGTAGTTCTGTAGCACAAGAGTTAATTACTGTTTGATTGCATCAGATAGTGAAATTTTACCCGTAGGATCTGTATTGTCATCTTCATGCATCATCTTAATTTGGGCCCTCAAAACTGCAGCCATTCTCTTCCCTTCAGATTTTTCTTAACTCCATTTACGTAAGTTTAAATTTTCTCTTCCATGAGATAGTAAACACTTTTAGAAGAATATGTTGCATTTTCAGTGTTGGTTCCTTTATTTTTCATGCTTAAATTGCTTTTAGCCATAACATAATTGCTTAAATATTGTTTAACAGACCAGACTTTCAATTCAAAGTCCTCTTCTATTTTGCCAAATTTTAGCATAAAATCCATTATAAATCTATCCAAGTTTTGCAGCATGTCGAACTTTATAAGGTGCAAACTTAGCTTCTGCTTCACTAGCATTTACAGAATCATTATTAAGATCTGCATAGATGTCATTTGCAAATGGAACAGAAGACCTCTTTGCCACCTTCCACAAATTGGATATCTTTTCCATGTTTACAAGTACCTTGTCTTTGAAAGCCAAATATTGGAAATCATTAAGCAGAAAAGACTTCTACTAAGTCAATTCCATCTAAGAATGAAAAGGGAAAAAACTACTTTTAATAACAAAAGCATAATTTATTTATGGAAATGCAGGCTCTTTAGAGTTTTGGTTTCTCATATAATTCACTCGGGAAATCAACATTGTAGCCAATCTGTGATGACTAAATGCTAGTAAGAAAGTACATGTGGCTTATCTTGGTTAACAGCAACACTGTGGGTTGAAGAGAGTTCTGTTAAAAATATACTTTCTTTTCCCTATGTTATAAATTCCAAGAACGTTAATTTTAGTGCAATTTAAAATGATGGTGATCAAAAATTGCAAGACAGTATGCTAATTAGTCCTGCTTCAAATCCTGTGAAAACAAATGCTCTGGGGAAGGAGAGGCACTTAAAATCTATAGATCCAAAAGTGCTGTCAAAAGTTTATTGATAGTGGAAAAGGGATGAAAGATTCTCTAATTTGGTCTATCGTAGAATTCAGACTTGGTTTGTGCAGATATTGTGTCTTTACTTTGCCTAAATTAAGCAATTTTGATCCTGAATTTAAGTTTACATTGTAGGTATGGACAAATATTTGATTCAATAAATTTATTCTTGACCATTTCTGCAAGCTTTTCACATAAATATAAGGAACTTTTGTCTCTAAGTAAAGCGTGGTGCATATTTCACCCAATTTAAATGTATTTTTTATCTGCAGAGAACATAATAATGCTTTTTTACATTCACTGAGCCCTTTCAATATCAATGTTGAGGTTTGTTTCATATGATTTCATACCTTGTTTTAAGAAATTTTATTATTGGGAGTGTACGTGCAAGATCAGTATTTAAGTAAGCAAACCCCCATAGCCATCTTTTTGGAATATCATTTGTTTGTTCTGTCACAAGAATTCAGTTATGGCAAAAGATTGTCCATATTTTCAAGAAAGGATAAGTGCTTTTGTCTATTTAAAAATGGTAATAAATGTTTCAAAAAGTTTTCTATGTCAAAAATTTTTTAAAATATTTTAATAGCATTTATTTGTAAACTTTTTATCTAGTGTTGGGAGAGAATTTGTAGCCGGGGACAAAAGTTGTTGCAGAATTTACAAAGTATGATATCAATGGGAAACAGATGGAATTAAACACATTTTTTCCCTTCAAAAATTCAGGCTTATAAAGCTTAGCATTATAATTGTTGATAAATTTACTTTTGTATAAGTTTTCTTTAACAAAGATGTTAATTAGGTTTAGCAAGGAAATCAACTTCAAGTATTTTCACAGATGAGGGTTTGGTTTGTTTGATTATCGCAAATTCTGCAATGGCTATCTGCCTTAGGGATGAATGCCTTCAGACAGGTCTTTGGAAAGGAATTTGCCTTCATATCCATGTTGCATGTGGAGAAAACTATGAAAGCACTCATGCAACCTGTGTCTTTGCCAGAATTTGAACATAGGGTCAAGTAACTGTGTTCAGTGACTTTACTTGTCAGTCGTTGGTGACACAAACGAGGGAAAATTTCGGTACAAGAGATTCTCAGTACCACTACTTTGAAAATGTTCATATTAAAGGTCAATATTACCTTTATTTCCATAGAATCATTTTTACATTAACTTTGGCAAGCAATGACTTTTCATTGAGCAATGAGATAGTACATTTTCTTAATAGCTTGATATGTATTTTTTTTAAACTTTAGAGTAAAATTTTGCATGTTTCTACATAAAAATCGTAAATTGAGTACAGAATACAAATCTGCAATCCTCCGTGTAATTCAACTAGTAGTCTTCTAACAGTTAAAATTTCATTTTTTTATTAAGCTTTATGATATTTGTGTATTAGCTAGTCCCACTGATACACTGACAATATTATCAACACAATTATGCATTCCTTAAAGCACTGAGGCAACCATAATGGCTATTCTGGAGTGTTCCGGGAGAGGGGTGAAAAAGTGAATTTTTATACTTTTTTTTCCTAATAATGTTCTGTCTTTTTTTTGGGGGGGAGGCACTAAGATAAGGGAACAGATGGCTTCTTTTTTCATTTTAACATTAACTTTTAAACCAGTTGAGATCCATATCTTATTGAGTTAGGGTGCAGTTGCATCATCAGTTTTAGTAAATTCCCTTTCTTAGTGGAAACTTCTCTGGTCAGTGGTTTTTCTTCTTGTGTTTTTATTGTTTAATTGTGTTTTTAACCTTAATTGTTCCTCTCATATTAATTTATATTTTTGTGGTGTATTATCTAATATGGGGGTTCTCAACCAGTGGTACACAAGAAATAAATAGGTGGTATGCAAAGAAGCAAAATATTTTTAACTATTAAGTTCAAAAATTAAAACCCCAACATCCTGATTGAGTTTTTTCTGTAACACAACGTAAATTTATGCCATCTGAGCTTTGTTCAAGAGTGGTGGTGTTAGTAGTACTTTGTAGTGGTGGTACTAAAGGTTTTCAATTTTTGTTTAGATGGTACGTGTTAGTCAAAAGGTTGAGAATCACTGATCTGGCATATTCAAGCTTATATGAATTTATCTATTTAAGCCTATAGTAATTTATGTAGTCAGTGTAAACTAACTTTATGTATCCAAGAATTATTGTATATATATGTGTGTCAACAAACTTACTCATATAATTAATGTATATAGGTTAATGTAATCAATTAATTGTTTTGTTGCAATCAAGTATTCAAGTATATAACTAGGATTCAAGTTTATTAACAGTATTCATGTAACATAGTCATGTATCTGCCATTATTGTCAACAAAATTATGCGTTCCTTAAAGCACTGAGGCAAACATAATGGAGTCTTCTGGGAGGGGAGGTATAAATGCGAATTTTTATACTTCGTGAATGCGAATATCAACACATGTAAGTATTCAAATAACACAAGTTCCCAAATAATGAATGTAAACAGGTTTAATGTATTCAATTGTCTTGCTGTATTCAAGCTCTCAAGTACATAATGAATGTATCCATTTTAACTCGATCATATTTAATATAGTATTGCAAGTATCATATTTAATATAGTATTTCATATTTAATATGTATTTAAGAATTATGACAGCATGCACTTAAAAACATTGCTAAAGCATTTTAACAGCGAATGCTTATATATTCATACAGCTAATGTATTTATGTAATATCATCCACATTCCTGCTTGTTCTTGCGTCTTCACAGAGAAGCAAATGCATTCCCAAGGCAGGCCTCCTCAGATTTAAGTTAGTGGAGGGCATGGAACGTAACCTGTATTAGCTAGCATTGTTTAATTCATGAGTACCAGAATAAGTCTGTAAATGTGTTTAAAAATAATTGTAATTTTGCATTTAAATATATTTCAGGGTGGCATGTATGTTCTGCAGCTGATGGATTGGTACAGTGCTACATTTTCTCTCATGATCATTTCATTACTGGAAACAGTATCTATTTGTTGGATATACGGTAAGGTTAAAATTTGATGTTTATTTTAAAATTTCTTTTTTATTGCATATTAGTTCTTTCACTTTTCTCTCGTATTATGCATTTAATATAGCCTCAGTTGTCAAGTAAAATTGTGGTATTTTTAATTTAAACGTTGTCTTTTTTCACCTAGTTTGTTTGTAATCTTAATTTTATAATTAAGCAATTCTGTGTTAAGTTTGGTATTTAACATTTAGATTATGAAGCAATTTTATATTAATATCTGGTTTCTCGTAGATATAGGTCTATGACTTACATTTTGCCATAATCTACTTCTACCTAACACACATAATGTCAGGGCAACACAAAAGAGTGTAATATTACATTAATGCTACTTTTTATAATGAAGGCAGAATATTTGTATAATTGAAAACTATTATCTTCAAAATTATGCAATTATTCTTCAACTAATGAGAAATTTCTGCACTTTCTTATCGATAATTCTTTAAGTTCTTCCTCCAGCACTTAATTCAAGATTGTAATCCACAGTCATTTACTTGATATGAGTGGATGGAGATAACAATCTTCATGTGGGAGACATAATTGTAGAACTTGCAGGTATACAATATAGGTGATTTATAATATGTATTAAGGTGTTTTGTTTGGTAACTATAACTACTTTGGGAGAAGTTGCCTTTTTGATTGCTTTATTTTAATATGTTGTTAAATCCAATAACGGTACCAAATAATTAAGGCACAAGTAATTAAGGATTATATGTTGCTTAACATTATATGTTCGAGAATAAGGCAGTAGCATGTTTTTTCGCTACCTTCTATTAATGAATATCACATGCTGAGTTTAAAGATTTTAAATCCATACCTTACGAGATACCTCCCATCACCTTAGGCGGCATTTAATGTTATGTACATTATAAACAATACCTATTTTTCTCTCTTGTTCTACATTTTTATCATCTTGAAGTATCTGTAAGAATGGTACTTTATTTGCATTCTGTGACTTTAGCTGAGACAAATTTAGTGATGGGTTATCTAACCTTCTACTTATATATGTAGAAAGAACTGATATGAATTATTTCATGTTAAAAGGAAATGAAAAATACTATTATAAAGCATGCAGTTAATGGTTCGTACGAAGTGCTAATACCATATTTTGATTAGGAATTATTTTATTTATAATTTAAATTGTAAATCATTTTGTGAGTAGCATCTCCCATCTCCCACCCCCATGCAAATGGGTACATGTTAAGCAGTTGTAACCAAATTCGCTGACCTGAAATGTAACTAAAGAAATTCTTGTTTTATTGTGTCATTGATTTCTTTGTCGAGGTTTTGGTCTTTGTGGAGGTCTACTATACGATTCCCTTTTTAATCATTTAGGTGTGGATCGTTTTATGCAGGATATATGTTTGATGATAAAACGCGTTCCTCCAACCTGGTGGAAATTATGTTGGTGTTTCATTACTCCAGGAACCATAGTCTCTCTTTTAATTTTTATTGTCATAAACCACGAAGCAGTTTCCTATGGGAATTACCAGTATCCTCAGTGGTCAATTGCTTTGGGTTGGATGATTGCTATGTGCTCCATTGCCCCCATTCCAGTTGTGGCTATTGCACAAATACTGAAAGCTGAAGGAACTTTCAAAGAAGTAAGCAAATATTAGTTTATTATAGAAATTTGTTTCATTGCTTGTATTCCAATTTCTTGTAAATAACCTCTATAATAATTTGATGAAATGACTAATGTATAATTTTTATAATTTTTTTACATTAATCAAAACTTTTAATCTGAGATGTAATGTAAAAAGGTTAATGATTACTGGATCAGAGTAATGGAAATTTCATATTTCATGTATGCACCTGAAAATGTATAATTTTTAGTATATTATTATTATTAATTTAGTATATTTTATAACTTTATCTTCCCTTTTTTATGCTACCAAAAGGTTAAACTATGCCTTATTTTTGAAGTCCTAACTGAAAGTATCTAATGTCAGCATTTTGAGTCCAAAACTTTATTATTAAAACACCTATTCTGTATAAAAACAGAACTTGATTATTAAATGTATAAAATATTCTTTTTACATTAGTAGAGGAACAAAATGAACATTCTGAAAATTTTAAATAGTGTATAATTTGAGACTAAACAAATAGTTTATTATATTTTAGTTATGTAAAATTTTCCATGCCATTTAGTATTTTGCATTCCCAAAGGAGCTTTTCTTTCCAGTTTTGATGATGCACAAATATGTAACTTATAACGTTATTACCAGATCTAATTTAGGAAATTATTTCTTTTTAGTGCTGTATGAGTTGATCTCTGTAAAGCACACTATTAGGCATTTTAAATTTTTTTTGAAAAGCATATCTCATTAGATTTAAGGTTACGGTTCCAGACTAAATTCATTACAATGACCTCTAGGATGACTATCCACTGTTCCGGATTATTTTATTCTTCTGCAGAAGGGGTCATGTTAGAGGAGATTACTTTCAACAATGGTGATTATTGGGCTGGCTTAATATGAGGGCTCTAGAGTCTGGTTAAAAAAGTACTGAAATAGAAATGTACATTAGTTTATTAATGTAATAATAGGAATAAAATTATAAATGAATTTGTAAAGATAATTAGTGAATAATAAAGCAAATAATGATAAATAAATGAAATAAAAATATAAGTGAATAATCTACTTTCTACTTAATTTTTTGAAAAACCTTTTGGTGAATAACCTTTTTCAAATGCATAATAAAGATGTTTTAATGCGTCCCATAGAGGAGGATTGAAAATATGGATTTTTTATTTATTTCAAATATATTCATTGCTTATTATCTGAGGAGGATGTTTCTGAAGTTTCAGACAAAATGGGACAGTGATTTCATGAAGAATTTAGTTTTTAAAATAATTTTATTAGACAACAGTACTGAACTAACGGCAGAGACAACAGTACTGAACTAACGGCAGCCTAGCACCAGCTGTAGCCAGCAAGTACTCCAAAAAATGAATTCTAGAACAGACACAGTTTCTAAGGCAAAAGCAGTGATAATTGAGTGACAGATAAAAGCACTGGCAGTTTCTTCATTATTAATTTCAGTCAATATATCTCCACAGAAATGATTAATAGCACTTGCCAAAAATTGATCAGAATTGATGATTGATTAAAATTGAATCATATTTTCAAGTATTTATAAAACCGAATAAAACTAGGCCTTTCACCACCAAAATGGCAGAATAAGTCAAACTGAAAAAACAGTATCATCCTATTTTAAATGGATAAGATTTTTGTAATTATTGGGGAGAAGTACATTGAATTGTTAATTTTGAATTATAATACCAGTTGTCCAGATAGAAATCTTCAGGAATGTGATACATCTTTTATACAAAGCTGTTTCTTAATCTGAGAATTAGCATGTATGGTTAATTAAACATGCTGAATTAATGATTAAGGACAGATTTCTATACAAATTGTTCTGCAGTTGTGGCAGAACCTAGAAATGCAACTTATTCATTTATATAGTACATAAATATACATTAGTAGCAAAATTAAACATTTTGATGGTTGACTCGGCATCTATTTGAACGTCTTGTTTAGGTTAGAGAGATTTTATCTATACCATCAATTGGTACTTTTGTTTTATATGGGAGGCATTGCTAGATCACTGGATGTCCTCGTTTGTGGTGTGAACTGGGTGCATTTCATTATAATCATATGGTAAAGGCTGCACCTTACATCAACCAACTGTTAGTAACAAATTTGTTTTAAAAATATTAGTCACTTTCAAGAATGGGTTTTAACATAGTTGGACTTCAGAGAGGGTTCACTGTATATATGAAATGAGTTTCCTATGGAAAGGTAAGTGCCAATTCTTTGACATAGAGTTCATACTTTTGATTGAAAAGAATTAGATGAACATGGAGAATTTCCTTAGCTTAACTAGGCAATTAATTTAGAATGTAATAAGTTTTCAATCGTGTGATATATAAAGTAAAATTTAAATAGCTTTCTTTAATGTAAAACAGTTTCATATGAAGAAAATTCATGCATATCAGAAAGGAGTGGCTTAGTATATTTGATTTCAGCAAGTTTATGGAAATTGTTTGAAATGACAGCTAGGCTATTTTTTAAGGAAATTGCAAAATAGCCCAAGTATTTCTCATACTTCAGTAGTATGTTTTATATCAAACAACGTGTTTTCAGTTATACACAGAATATTCCATAGATATAAATTTAACATTTTGTTACATTGGCGTAATTCTCTCGGCATTAATAGCTGTACTCTATTTTTAGTTTGATCTGATTTTGCTCTAATCTGGGCAATATCCAGAGGATATGATGGTTAATGACAATAAAATAATAAAAATTAGTATTTGCTTATTATCTGAACTTAAAATTTATTTATTTTTAAAAATCATTTTAACTCAAATTTGATTATCTTTACTTGAAACTAGGCATCCATTAAACAAAGTTTTTAAATATGGTATATATCCATATAAATGTCATGCAACAGCATAAGGATCTATTGCCAGGTAAATAATATGCATAAAACACGTTTGCTGAACAGCTCTTAGAAGTAGGTATCCGTAACAATTAAGCTCAGTAAGTTTAATGTATTTACCTTCTGTATAAAAAAACAGGCTGCTTTTACAAAATGTTAACTTGGAGATAAATCAGTAATTTTCAAAAACTGTTCCGCATAGACTAAAAATACAGTTGTTACTGAAAACTTTTAAACTAAATTACTCAAATAAGGGAAAAGAATTCTATTATTGAGCAGTGATGTGATCTAAACCTTTAAAACTATATTGCGTTATTATAAGTTGCTTATTGTTTTAATTATTTCCTTACTATTTGTTTGGTAGATTTTCCCCTCTACAAAACCAAATCAAGATTCCTTGGTGTGTTAGTAAAATTAAATTTTATTATTTCATTATAGATTTCTCGATAAATAGACAGTTATACAGATCCATTTAGATAGCATATTCAGATGTACTTTTTAAATATGACTTTAATCATCTAAAGTCCAGAAAAAGCAAATGAAGTCTTTTAAAAAAATAATATTCAAATGAAAAAGTGTGTTCGAGAAATAAATGGGGAAGAATTTCTGGATTTTTCCTCCCATAATGTGTATTTATACTAAACATCTTTATAATTCATAAAACATGACTACTGGTTTCAGTAATAAAAAGTCATTCATTAGTGTAAAAATCCAAAAGATCTCTAACAATATTGTATTTTACAAGACTAAAAGATAACTTTTATTGTAGTCTAAAAACTGAGGTCCAACATCAAGCCCTTGAATATTCTCATCTAGCTACATTTATGCAAAGATTCTGATACAGTGAATATTTTTTGTATTTTTCTTAAAATTTTTATTCCTGCTCTACATTTTCTCAGTATGGAGGAGGAAGAAAGGTAGTTCCAATTAATTCCTTTTAAAAATGGCCCTAATAAGACATCCTTAAGTTAGTACTCTGAATGTTTACTTCACAAACTGTTTTTCAGCAATATGTCCATCAGTTGCCTATGTAGTCCATAAAAGCTATCTGCAGGATTTGAGCTGCCTTTGGAATCATGGCTCCAATTTACACTCAAATAGTTTAAAATACATTTTTTTTTTTTTTTTTTTTTTTTTGCTACGCTTAGGTAGTTAAATAATGACAGAACAAAAAGTATATTTCGGAAGAAAAGAAGCACGAATCATGGCAAGTCAGACATGATAAAACTTTAATAAATGCACATAATGATATAAAACTGTGAAAAAAAAATTTGAACCAATACTGAAACTTGATTACCCAGTAAATTGCGCTAATTTGAACTAGCGTACAGTTTAAACTACTGTAATTTACTTTTTACACTTTATAAATCTTTATTCAATAAGGATGCTTTTAATGATTTGCAAAAAGTTGTTTGAAAATAAAACTTAATTTCTAAAATGCTTTTAATTTTACTCAGATAGACACAAATATTTCCACGTTTGTCTATTTTTTTCCCCTCTGGTTATGTTTTATTGGAAGTGTATAGTTTGAATTCAATTTACTTGCCAATTTTAAAGTTTAAGGGACTGAGTAGCTTAAATTACAAATTGTTGCAGGCGGATATCGGGATCACAAAAATCATAGAGAATTTTTACAATTTTCTTAAATGTCTTCATCTTTTTTCAATTTCAATGTTGTTAATAATTTGATATAGTTCTTAAGAGAAGGTTGTTTTGTCAAAGTATGCAGGCAAAAAGAACAGTACTTCTCATTTCTTTTATTGGCAACTGTTCTCACCTCTAATTTTGTTAATGGCACACATACATATTTGAGTAGTGTGTTACATTTCTAGTGGGGGATGTGGAAATACGGTGAGGGAAATGTCTCCAGTTTTAATCTATTTTAGTGCTTAAGTGCCCACATACTTAAATTTTCAAAATGTTGATTCAGATCTGCAGAGTTTAAAACGCATCATTTCCGTGTTTTCACATAAGAGATGGATGGCAAATTTAACTCATCAAATGTAGGCAAGAGGTTCAATTTGGATATGAAATAGTTAATTCTTCATGTTAATTAATTTTCATCTTTTACCATTGCGCTTTAGATTTAATCTTCATAGTTCTGTGTGTAGCTATGATAAAAATCTTTCTAAGACTACTACTTAACCATAGCAAGTGAATGACAACTTAAATTTCTAAATTAGAAAGTCGCATGTAATCAAAGCAGCACATTAAGTACATGAAATAGGAAATGTTAAATTCCACCTTTTTTTTTTTTTTTTTACTGTTTCTTCTGTTGAGTGAAACTGTTAAAAATAACTCAATTAAGAGACTTTTGCTGCATTTTATTTAAACATCATACAGGAAATGATTTTTAAAAGTAATCAGAATCCTATGGAAAGCTATCAGGAAAGGTCCAAAAGTGAATGAAAATTAAAATGTAAAGTGGTAAATAGAAACTTAATAGAGTACAAACTCCGTAATCCGGACTCGTCGGGATTTCGGCGATTCCGGATTAGGGGTTTTTCTGGATTATAGATCATCAATTTAAATCTGGTAAGATGGCATGCAGAAACTATACAATTAAAATATGAAATCGTAATTTATGAAATAAAGAGCAATTATGATATAAAGGGTATCAAAATTTACAAAAAAAAAAAAGCTTAATATTTATTTGTTTACTTTATTAACCATTTCTTCCAATGCAAGTTGTTTAAATTGCTTCGTTTTTTGTGCTAATACTTTTTCTTTAATTCTATAAACAGACATAATTTCTTGTTCAGTTACAAAGTTCCAAAGTTCAAGTCCTGTAATTGCTGTGTCGAGAATACCGACTAACTTGTCAATCGAAATGTTTTCGTTTTCAATAACCTCTTGGTCACTTTCTTCACTATCGGAAGCGCGCATTAAAGGCATACAAAAAAAAGTTTGTGGCTTTGAGGTCCGGATTACTGACTTTGTACTGCACAATAAGTTAGTAAATCAAAGAAATAGATAAATAATAGATTAAAGTAATAGAGAACATTTTATATGGAATTCTGGCTGGAATTGGTTTTTGTTCAAGAACTGAAAAGTAGCTAAGCTGGGTTCCAGCTTAGTTTAAATTGTGATTGTACATGTATTAAAGACCTAAGAAATTTCATCATTGATATTTTATGATCTAATTTTGTGATGTAATCATTTAGCTGTTTATTGACTCTCTCTGAATGCAACTAATTTTTTTTTTCAGAGACTTATTTCTTGTCTACGACCAGCTCCAGAATGGGGTCCTGCCTTAGAAGAACACAGAATTTTATATAAGAAGAGTCTTAGTTTAGTATCAAGTCGTTTTCCTCAAAGGCATGTCTCAGGTTTGGGTCACAGTGCAAGCAAATCTCAAATGAATGATGGAGAACTGTGTGCAGTGCAGACAGAAAATCTGTTACTGCAGTCTGAGAGTGCTGTATAAAAAGTTGAATATGTAGAAACTCAAATTATTTGAAGCTTCTTTCTTAAGAGCTGTCTGTGATTCTGAGCCAATAAAACCCTTTGGGTTTAAGGTGGCTGTAGTTTTGAGGACAAAATATTGCACAAATTGTTTAATGCATTTTGCATTGGACGTTTAGCCCAGTGAGGGAAGTATTTGTCTGATACTCAGGCTTGAAAAAGAGTAACTCCTTATAAAAACGTAGAGGACTGAACGTTATGTTTGATTTGTCATTTCAATTGTATTCCTTTTAAATACCTTCGAGACCAATAAGATATCTTTGGATATTCAGTGTTCATAAATCATAGTATTAAAATTTCTCACTTTTTAAGTATATAAATTGTGATAAACTATTCCCAGTTTTGATATACTAGATTAAAAAAAAACAACTGGGTGTCAGTTTTTTACATTCTTTTAAAATTTAATTGGTGATATAACATTACATGAAACTCAAAATACAAAAAATTAAGAGTCTAAACTTATATTTTCTTAGATAATGTGTTACTGTTTTTACGAACCATTTTGTAGGTAAAATTAAGTTTATAATTTTTGTATTTATGTCCTGTAGTAAGGAATAGGTATCTATTTTTCTGCCTTTATTTAAAAACAAATATGAAACTTTATTTGCTTTATTATTATTATTTTCTTTACTTTAATATTATTTGTCTCTTTTCAAAAGAAGCCTTTTTAAATTTTAATAGTAAAAAAAATAACATGTTACTGGATGAGAACTGTTTATAATAGTATTATATGAGTGAGATGTATTTGTAACAGTTCATATTTTTAGATGAACGATTGTCTTTTTTATAGTTCCTGAAACTCATTGCAAATTTATTTGTTTGAGTTTTATTTAGTGTCAACATTTTAAGTTTGTTTCAGATTGCCTTCTGCTTAGTGCATACATGATTGAGTTTTCCTTCATTTTTTATTACTCTAATTTGTAATTTATTATCCTAATAGTTGTAATTCTATTTAATTGAGTAAAAATAAAAATCCTTGAAATTTTATATTCTCAATGAAATACAGGGACAACTATTTTTGGCTGTATTTGCTCCTGCAATTGCTAATTTTAAATTAGTTTGTGAGGAAATTCACTTCTTTCAAAATAAGTAAATTTTGCAAGTTGTTTTACTAATGTAGTGTATTTTAATCCCTTGTGTGTGAATATTTTTATCTGGTTATTTCTTTTGCAGTGGAGAAATCAAATTTTTTCCCAAATATTAATTTTTCAAATTTTATTTTATAAGAAATATACCAGTAAGCAATATTCAGTAAGCAATCTGAAAATTCACTATCATTTTTCATTATTTTGTTTGTGATTTTTTTATAAGTTATGTTTGACAGTTTACCGATTTCTCCATTTTCATACAATTTTCCTCCTTTAAATAACAAAGTAATATTTTTTTTTGGTATAGGTTATAATTTTAAAAAATTGGTTGTATCAAGTAAAGTTAAAACAAATTAATTCAAAATTTTATTTAATTAGTTAATTTTCTGCTGCTCAATCTACATGTTTCTTGGATGGAATTAATTGTACTTTTATGTAAACGCTTAAGCCACTACTTAACTGTTTAAAAATGTTCCCTTCTGTCACAGGATATTGTGCTTCTAAAAAAATTTCCCTTCTGTCCCCAAGGTACTGTGCTATTAAAAATGTTTTCCTTCTGTCACCAGGTAATAAGCTCACTTATTCTGAGACTTGTTTTATTCATTTCTGTACATTCCTTTCAAACATTTTTGTGCAGTTAACTTCCTGTATAAGCTATTCAACTTATTTTTTTAAGATGTGCTTGCATAAGTTATATATGAAAATTCATCCAATAAAATGTTTTGACTTTAATTTGTCATATCTTTTCTATTTTAGAATACATTCTAATTGAAATTTTCTGTTTAATTAAAAATTATAGACATCTATTTGATGTATCAAAATATTATTTAGAGAGTCTGTTGACAACCCAAGGAAGTAAGCCAAAGTATTATTTTTACTGTATGAAGCTGTTGCTGGTTGCTGATTTGAAGAAATTAAAATACAGAAGCACTTTTATCATCTATAAACATAAAACTTGGTGATTTATAAATGCATGCAAAAACTATATATGAATTATGCCAAGCTTAGTAATCACTAGAAAATACAAAAAATTTCTAAAAATACATTGACTATTTTGGTGTTTACATTGCCTGTTATGTGAGATATTATGGTTTTAAAACTAGAGATTCAATGCTTTAAAGAAAATGTATTTTTTTATATTATTTAATTCAGGCAGTAATGCATAGGTTTTGGTTTTTCAAAATGGAGCTCTTTATTTTTTCTCTCCTCCCCCTCACATTGTATTAAAATTTACTTGTTAAATATGTCTGTTACATCTTCGTCCTATCAGCTAGCAGCAAAGGTTCTACGGTGGTCATCGACTGACGACTTCTTTCACCTTCTCATTTCCTCCACTCCGTGCCAAGACAGGTGGTTGGTTTCATCTGCTCTCCGCACAATTATGGACTGAACTCTTCAGGAGCGAAAAACGTTTATTGCTTCTGAAGAAAATGAATCTCCAGATCATCCTACAAATCGATTATTTTATTCAAAATTTGCTTTGTTGTAGAGGTTGCTTTCTTGTCTTAATTTTAAAAGGGCAGAATATTTCATTTCGTGACTATTCCACTAAAAGCCGAAAATGTAAGCGTGTTTGTTAAAGAGGCAAGGCAGGACAAAGAAAGGCATTTTCACTCCGTGGCAGAGAGCATCACCATTCCTCTATCACTAGTAAAATATTTACCTATTTCATGTTTAATTTTAAAAAATGAATTAAAAGTTAAATGGAAACTCATTACTTATTATTGGCTGTTAAACATTGTAAAAGGCGGTGAGCTTCACCCTTGAATACAACTGATATATACAAAAGAAGACTATTACTTTTACTAAAAATGTAATAGTTAAACATTCAGAATATGTAAATGTATATGTAATTGTACATTTTTAGAAACTTACCAAAAACAAAATTTTTGGGTCAGCAGGAATCTTGGAATTAAATCAACCAAATGTTAATAGTAATTAAAATAAGGTTTCAGTACACTGTTTTCCATTGCAAGAAAATTCAAATAATTTTCTACCATGTTAGACTGTGGGTAACTCCCGATAGATTTTAGTTCACTGAAATTTCTTTTGTAACTAACATCTGTCACCAGTAGCATAAGTAGAATTGTGAAAGCAGCGACATGTTATAGATTAATTACTTTAATAAATCATTTCATGGGGGATGCGTGCATTTTCATACTTTAGACTAATATGGATATAACTTCGAGAACTATTTCTTTGCCATTGGTACTTTAGTGATTATTACCCTGAATTCTAAACTGATTCAATTATTTCTGTCTACTGTTTTTTAAATTAAATAAAAATCTGTTTATTGAGAATTATGCAATCAATAAAATCATTCTTTAAACGACTTCATTATCTATAAAATTTTATTACAATTGCAGATTTTGCTTTTGATAAAATTTTTTCGTTCTTCGCAAGATGTTAGATTTATGAAACGTTTCCCTCATCCCCCATACTATCCTTTTGCCGGTCAAAACATGCTGGATATCTAAAAGTTCGTTCAGATACTTTAAGTGTGTAAAGGCATTTATAAATCTGTTTAATCGATGTTTATATGCTCATTACAAGATTTGATGAATTTACAGCTGAACTCAAATCTGAATCGTTTGCTCTTATACTTTTATTTTACAATGTAAAATTATATTCTGAGGCTAAGTTATAAAATGCCTCAAAGTTTGTAAGGAATGATAAAGAAAACATGAAATAAATGGAAAAAATATGAGGATAATTACTAAGCAAAGAAATAAGTATCTGAAAGTTTTATTTGGAAAGTCTTCATAAAGCACGTCGAAGTTTTGTGTAGTTATCGAAAAGTGCTATCGAGCTTGATACATAACTCTGAATACTGCATAGATTTTTAGTTGGATTCAATTTAAGAGCCAAAAGCTCAAGAGGCTTCTTACTAAATCATTTACTTTCAACTCACTACATGAGCATATGCTTATTTATAATGAAATATGCATTTTTCTCCACACAATTTTTTTTGTTATTGTTTTACTAAGGTAGCATTCTAACAATTCTATATAGGTTAATGATAGGTAATTATATCAATTTTACTTTGACTTAAAACATTATTTGAATCCCCATCTATTTGACAGCTGATGAGCTGACCATAGATCCTTTCAATCGAGAAAAACGGAGTGCGAAGCGCTAAAAGAACTCCCATTGAAGAAGGTGATCTGCCCTATACCCTGCAAAAATACAGAAGGTATAACTCTGCTGAACAACCTTTTTTAAAGCTCTGAAAAACCCAATGAATTAATTACAACCAAAGTTCCAAGAATGCATCCACCCAAATATGCAATTCACGAACTACCTTCAAACATTATTCTAGACTAAAACTACACTTGCACAAGCAATGAAGTGTGAAGAAGAATTGATGTTCTTATTTTATCTCAAGGTTCGTGTCAGAACCACCAAATGGATCGCAGAATGCACACCACACAAAAGCAGTCCCCTTTCAATGGCACACAAACATTATATCTGAATTATTGGTGCACATACATGTGTAAACTGCCGAGCATTCAGTCACAAGCCGAGAGAGTGCAATTACTGTCCACTCTGCGGATACTCCGAAGGTAACCCGCACGGAAATTTCGTGTCCATACTACAGAGAAGTAGGAAGTATCCAATACAGAACAAATTATCATGAGTAACCAGCATCTCGAAATATTGTTAATTTCCAGCACCTCAACCAATCAAGATGAACCAGTCGTATAATTTCTAACAGCAAATATAATTCCTAATATCTGGGCTCTTCATATTAACCTCTAAAGATCGAAGACTGCAGTCGAAAACATTGCACAATACATTTCAGAACACTACTATGATCTCACCTTTATCCAGGAATCTTTCATAGGCAACTGGTGAAACATCCCTCTGTTGTAGGCGCCAAGTCTCTGTTTTTCATCCCAGTCTCCAGGCAATTGCCGAATTTTCCGGTTTAGATTTTAGCCTTTACTAAGGAAAATGTTTCCCAGTTAGAAATGAATTTGATTGAATTAATGAAACTTAAAATTCTGTCCCCCCCCCAGTCTAATGATTTTCAGAATAATATTCTTGTTGAATTTTATTTCATCTGAATTGTATTTTTTCTTCTTATATTTTATTGCTTTTTGTCTTATGAAATTTCATTTGATCTGAGTTTTCATAATATACTGCAGGTAATTGTGGATCTTCTTTATGAAGATTCAAGCAATGCTTAAGCAGGTTTTTTAATTTTGCTTACGTCAGTGTATGGTAAATTACCAAGTTTATCCTCAGAAATGTTATGTGCATTAATTATTAATTTTACTTTCTTCATATTTAAAAGTACTCCGGTAAATATCCTTCACTATTTGAGATTTTCTCATTATAAAAGTGTAAGAAAATTAAAAAATGAAATTTGCCAAAGAATGTAAAGGTTAGTTAGGTTATTCGAATAAGGAAAAGCCACAAAAGCTATTTGCCTAAGAGGAGGGATGCCTTCGGGGAGGACTTTCTCGGGAAAGCTAGCTCGTATTCACTTTACATATGGTTTCCCCATATGTAAAGTGAATATCGTCAACCGTGCAGTCAGCCCTTTCTCCTGGATTTGAACCCAAGTCAAGTTGAATAACCAGTTTTCACGGGTCTTAACCACTCGGCCACTGATGAGCATAAAATTAAAATGTTCAATTAAATGTTAATATATTTTGCATCAGAACTGAATTACAAATAATTCAGTAGCTTGTACCATGCATTATAAAGTGAATTAAAGTCAGTTTGGAGTTCTTTTGAAAGGGTGTTGCCGTGAAACTTCGTGATTTTTAAGATTTCAAGATTGGCAGCTATGCTTCTTCTAGGATGTATTTTGCCAATGACAAGCAGATCCTCCCCCAAACAATCAAGGACAGCACTTCTAAACAATAAACACTGGTCACCTACTATAATTACAACAGAGCAAGAATTTGCTACTTTTGCACTCAACTTTTCCACACACCCAAATTCTTGTTACATGTGCATACTCCTTCCCTGCAGAAAAAAAACAACAACTTAGCACTGTTCTCACCAGCCGTAACAGTCCCCACAGAAACAATGGGAATTTAAGCACAAAGAATCAAATATGGGGCTATCTATGAATTACCCCAAGAAGGATTACCATTCTTTATCAGTTTTAACAACATAATCCTCCAAAACAAATCAGGATCTACCTTCACATCTGCTCATGGAAGAGGACGTTCAGACCTTAAACACTCACCAGCTAGAAATTGAAGAGTGCTCCATCTGAGACTACTAATTCATTTCATTCAAAGCTGAGCAGGGAACTATAGCAATGCACATTAAGTGTTCCAAAATCAACAAAAGCTCTGAAAAGAAATTCATTCAGTCCCTAAAAACAACTGCTAACAAATTAATCCGAGATTTAAACTCTTGCAATACAATAACTTTATCTCAACACAACTAACTTCACAAAACAAGTTGAATTCAGTGATAAAACGTGCCATCCCAAAACAGTAAAAAACAGCACAACATTAACTGGGGGACTAAGAAACATCTAAGGGTCAGGCAGAAGACAAGAGCCTTTCGAAGGCTCATGAAAACAAGAATAAATGAGGAGTATAAAAAAAAAAAAGCCCGAGTAAACGTAATCCTTCAATTATAAGACTAATAATTCAACAGACAAATAAGCTCCTTATAAAAGAAAAACCCCTGAGGAGAAACTCAGTTCATGGAACAAGTACTCAGTTCGTGGAAGAAGTATAGCAACAAACAAGAATCCTGTGGTC